CTTGTTCCTTTGTGAACATGTGTGTGCTCTTACCTTTGAGTGATGTGGATTCTCTTACCAGATCTTGAGACAAGGTGCTAAGTAACAAAGCCAAATGCTTCAGTGATTTATATTAGCAATCCCCCCCACCCCGGGGCACCCTATTCCCATCTTAACATTGATGTATATAAAAATTTCCATCTTTGCCTGGATTATCTCAACAGCTCCACTGCCCCCAGCAAAAACATTTCTCCAACTTTTAATGAGAAATATCTTATGATTTATCATTGTAGTATCAAGGAATTCATCTCTCTCAGATCAAATGGATGTGAGTGGAAAAAAAAAAAAAAAAAAAAAAAAAAATTTCTGAAGCTACTGACTTTTCACCAAATTCATTTGGGGTTCAACTCTCTCCTATTCCTTTATTTTATGTTTGCTTGAACTTCTCCTCCATTTATTCCCCGACCCCTCGTTTACTTTTACTTTTTTTGACTTTTAATCATCTCTAATGACCATTTTGCTTTCTCATGCAACTAAATGTTGAACCAGGTCCAGCATCCTGCTATCCTGAAACATTTATGTATTATTCTTCCATCATCTGATATATCCTCCTACGTAGCTATAATAAAGCTTTATTTATACATTAAGCCAATAAATATTGACAGATCAAACAATTATAACGTGCTGTAATAAAAGCTAAGTGACAAATAGATTTGTTCTTATCATAGAATTGTATAGGATTTTATTTTTGTGAATTTTCACCTTTTCACTTGAAAGAAGCACTGTATGGCTTATTTGTATTGCCAGCATTCCTACTCTTGCACTTAGGGACAATTAACTTCTTGACTCCTTTATGAAAGAAGATCCTGTTGGAATAATTCAATGTGCCATGTCCCTTTAGGACATGGGTGCTCATGGTTATCCACAATTTCCTGTTCTTTAAAGCTCTTAAATTTTGTCATCTTTCCTAAACCTTGTTCTGTCATCCATTTACTCAAGTTCACTAGGCAGATTATGCATGGTTTTTCTGTCACACTTGCGTTTAATCTATTCGGTGAGTATCAAATTTTACAAGCCTTTTTGTTTCTATTTTCTCTAAAACAGGTGGGTGGGAGTGTAATCTCTGATCTTGATATATTTCCCAAAAGGAAACAAAGAATTTCAGGATAAACTCAACCCTGTGCCATATATTCTAGTGTAGAGGTAGGTAAATCCCTTAAGTAAGTAAAACATTATTTTCTGGGATTGGCGATAAGCAACTGAAGTTGCAGATCAAAGGAGATCACTCTACTCCACATCTAGTTTTCACAATATTTCTGAGAGGAAGGTGATCTAGTTTTTGACAACACCTACTAAATCCGTCCTGGTAAGGAGATTCATTGGATTTTGAAATTTATTGTGCACATCATTAATGATTTCTTCAATAACAAAAGTGTATTCTAATAGCTTTTAAAGGGTGACTTTTTTTTTTTTCAATAAAATTCAAGGTCTCTCATTATTTGCTCAGAACAAATTTGTTTTTGTCTTATCGTAAGTAATTATGACAAGAACTTGTGAGCTATTGTTGTAATGCATGTTGACCCGTAAAAACAGAATTGATTTTCTTGATAGAACTGCTTTCTCATAAGGGTTTCATTTTTTTACATCGAATTACCCAACTCACATGGAAGTGTGTTTTGCTGTTTGAAACAGTGGTAGAAAGTTCAAGCCAAATAAGTTGCCAAGTGTTTATAGTTTTATATAGGTCATATGACAGTGGTCATCCAGTTACTCATCTTTTGTAAGTTTTGCACTTGTCTGTGAATGCTTTGTTTTCTGTTTTGATATTCATAAAGACAAAGCATCTGCATTTGTCACATTGTTGCCCTGCAAACTTCAGAAGGCCTGAGTCACCACATAGCATTTGGGTATTGTCAATTTCTATGCTCTGCAGTTATCATTTTGCTTATCAACCTTATTGAAAGAGGTATTTGTCATTTGGGTAGAAATCAATCATCACTTTGATGTTTTCAATTGTTTAGAAGTACCATTTCTCAATGTGGTTACATCAAGGCTAGGCCAATATGACACAGGTCAACTGGAAGGCTAATACTAATCTGTTTAACAATGTGCTTTGTATTGACAGGAAGAGCTGATTTTGAAGGAACAAAAAGACAGTTCTTTAAATAGTTTAATATATTTTGCTTCTGCTTTTGACAATCTCAAATTAATAAAGGTTGACACTGTTTCATTTAATAAAAATTCCAGATATTAATATTCCTAATGTTTATATGACCCAGTATAGAAGGGCAGGCCTCCTAAAGCAAAAGGAATATGAAGTGTCTAAATGACCTTGTGGGTGATTAATGATTGTACCATCCTATAAACCCTTTCTTCACAGATGAACATTGCTGCTATTTCCATAGCAAATGTCCACACATGGAACATTGCCGAGATATATCAAAGGCTATATAAACTCTCCATCTCTGGCAAGGTAATCAGTTATATTTCCTACAAGACCTCATAAACTTCACTTCTTATATATCTGTCTATATTTTTGAGAAGAGGTATTATGTACATTATTCCTTGTCTTTGTGGCCATATTTATTACATTATGGCTGTTGTACACTCTGGCCTTCTTCAGGTGGTTGGAATGTTGAACTGAACCATTTATTTTGCTCATTGCGGTAGACTGCTCTAGTTCCACGTGCCATGTTTAATGGATGTCAGTTATCCACTGCCTTGAGAGAGAGAGAAAGAAAGAAAGAAAGAGAGAGAAAAAGAGAGAGAAAGAAAAGAGAAAAAGAAAGAAAGAAAGAAAAAAGAAAAAAAGAAAGAAAGAAAGAAAGAAAAGAAAAGAGAAAGAAAGAGAGAAAGGAAAGAGAAAAAAAAAGAAAAGAGAAAGAAAGGAAGAAAGAAGAGAAAGAAAGAGAGAAAAGAGAAAGAAAGAGAGGAAAGAGAAAGAAAAGAGAAGGAAAGAGAAAGAAAGAAAAGAAAGGAGAGAAAGAAAGAAAAGAGAAAGAAAGGAAGAAAAAGAAAAGAAAAAAAAAAGGAAAGAAGAGAAAAAAAGAAAAAAGAGAAAGAAAGAAAAAAAGAAAGAAAGAGAGAAAAAGAAAGAGAAAGAAAGAAAAGAGAAAGAAAGAAAAGAAAAGAGAAAAAAGAAAGAAAAGAGAAAGAAAAGAGAGAAAAAAAGAAAGAGAAAAGAAAAGAAAGAAAAGAGAAAGAAAGAAAGAAAAGAAAAGAGAAAGAAAAGAAAGAGAAAAAAAAGAAAAGAGAAAGAAAGAAAGAAAGAAAAGAGAAAGAAAAGAGAAGGAAAGAGAAAGAAAGAAAGAAAAGAAAGAGAGAAAAAAAGAAAAGAAGAAAAGAGAAAGAAAGAAAGAAAAGAGAAAGAAAGGAAGAAAAGAAAAGAGAAAGAAGAGAGAAAGAAAGAGAGAAAAGAGAAAGAAAGGAAGAAAGAAAAAAAAAGAAAAGAGAAAGAAAGAAAGAGGAGAAAGAAAGAAAGAAAGAAAGAAAAGAGAAAGAAAGAAAAAGAAAAGAGAGAAGAGAAAGAAAGAAAAGAGAAAGGAAAAAGAAAGAAAAAGAGAAAAAGAGAAAGAAGAGAGAAAGAAAGAAAGAAAAGAGAGAGAGAGAAAGAAAAGAAAAAAGAGAAAGAAAGAAAAAAGGAGAAAGAAAAGAGAGAGAAAGAAAGAAAGAAAAGAAGAAAAGAGAAAGAAAGAAAGAAAGGAAAGAGAGAAAAAAAGAAAAGAGAAAGAAAGAGAAAGAAAAGAGAGAAAGAAAGAAAAGAGAGAGAAAAGAGAGAACAGAGAAAGAAAGGAAAGAGAAAGAAAAGAGAAGAGAGAAAGAAAGAAAGGAAAGAAAAAGAAAAGAAAAAGAAGAAAAGAAAAGAGAAAGAAAGAAAGGAAAGAGAAAGAAAGAAAAGAGAAAGAGAAAGAAAAAAGAGAAAGAAAGGAAGAAAGAAGAAAGAAAGAAAAGAGAAAAAAAAAGAAAAGAGAAAGAAAGAAAAGAGAAAGAAAGAAAGAAAGGAAAGAAGAGAGAAAGAAAGAGAAAGAAAGGAAAGAAAAGAGAAAGAAAGAGAGAAAGAAAAGGGAAAGAAAGAAGAGAAAGAAAGAAAGAAAGAAAGAAAGAGAAAGAAAGAAAGAAAGAGAAAAGAGAAAGAAAGAAAGGAAAGAGAAAGAAAGAAAAGAGAAAGAGAAAGAAAGAAAGAGAGGAAGAAAGAAAAGAGAAAGAAAGAAAAGAGAAAGAAAGAAAGGAAAGAGAAAGAAAGAAAGAGAAAGAAAAAGAAAGAGAAAGGAAAGAGAAAGAAAAAGAAAGGAAAAGAAAGAGAAAGAAAAAGAAAGAGAAAGGAAAGAGAAAGAAAAAGAAAGGAAAAGAAAGAGAAAGAAAAAGAAAGGAAAGAGAGAAAAAAGAAAAGAGAAAGAAAGAAAGAAGAAAAGAGAAAGAAAGAAAGAAGAAAAGAGAAAGAAAGAAAGAAGAAAAGAGAAAGAAAGAGAAAGAAAGAAAAGAGAAAGAAAGAAAGAAAAGAGAAAGAAAGAAAGAAAAGAGAAAGAAAGAAAGAAAAGAGAAAGAAAGAAAGAAAAGAGAAAGAAAGAAAGAAAAGAGAAAGAAAGAAAAGAGAGAGAAAGAAAAAAAATGTATATAATAAAAAGTAGTAAAAAAATCATCAGGATAGAAAAGAAACAAAAACGGAGAGTGAAAGGATATTCAAATAATGCATCATAATTCCTTGCATAGGTTGAGTTTATCTTCTCCAACAGTATATTATAACTCTTAACGACTGAATTGTAAACAATGACAAGCATAGACATATTGAAACGTTTCACAATTACACTGTTGGATTATGTTACTGTATCCAAGGCATATTTTTCTTTTTGCCCCTCAAGCTGAAAATGAAAAATAAAAAACAAAAGTAGAATTGTGAAGAAAAATACAGGAGTCTTTCATTGCAGTTGATAGTACAGATGAAGGACACAATCAACAACATGGTGTTTATCTTGAAACTGAGACAAGAGGGTCATACCCACTCCCTCCCTCCAACATTAATCTCATGTCTCTTCCTCCTCCTCTTGATCATCTTCCTCAGGAATAGGATATCTTAGCATTGCTGCTACACCGGTCAACTGCCCAAGTTCTGCCAATATAAACAATATTACTAGTTAAATACTAGAAGTAGTAATAGAGATTAAATTTGCTTATTGTTCAACCTCGGATATCTTGCAAGGGAGATGCAAGGAAATGTTTTTACAATACACTATTATAACATTAATCTTAATACAATTTAAATTATTGAGAAATAAACTGGCCTACTGCCTTCTTTCATTAGTCTTGAAATGTATGGAGCATGACTTACGTTCACCAGACACATGGAGACTGGAAAATATTTTTACATCACTTCCGTTGTCTTTTACTTTGTCCACAAGAGCTACATAGCGTTCCCGTTTCTTTATATCACTTGACCTGGAAAAAAAAGTGACAAAGTTGAAAATGAATTTAACTGTTATCTAGCTGGAGGTAAAAAACTGTCACCATAGAATTCTCTCCCTTTGCAATTGTAGGTGCATTCTGTTGCCTCAAGAGGATTGCTATAAATAAACACTTGTCAACTGTTATTTCCAGTATTTTAAGCTGGAAATAGGATACCATTTTTAATTCTTCTACATGAGGTGTAATATTGATTAAACCCACATTAATTATGTCAATTTTTTTTTTTTTCAAAAAAAAAAAAAAAAAAAAAATGGTCAAATGACCACTACATTCATTTTTTTCTTTGATCACACTAATGATTTTGAAGGCTTTACTCAAGCGGATATTGATGGTCAGAAATAGACATAACCACACTAGTGGTGAGGAGGAAAGCTATCATGACCTTGAGGTGCCAAGCAGCTACTATCATCCATTACTGACTAATTTTATGGAAGCTACTCACCCCATGGATGTACCTGACAGCCTTTCAGAAGGTGAATTATTTTGTCTATTTATAAATAGATGAAATAAATTTATTTATCAATGAGACAAATAAATATGCTACTCAGGTGAAGGAAAGGAGAGGAATAAATGTTGGTGTCTACTCGTATGTAAACACTTTTGAAGAAATGAAGGCCACCTTAACCATTTTGTTTCTTATTGGACTCACGAAGCAGTCATCATTTGGATTATGCTGGTCAACAGATGAATTTATTCAAATGGCAGGTTTCAGACATCTTGCAACAAAACAGGTTTTTGTCATTTTTTTTTTTCATCCTTCAGATACCCTGAACATAAGGCATTCAAGATCCAGAAATTTTCAGAAATACTTGTGCCACATTGGCAGAAATATTTTATCCCAGAAAGAAACTGTCAGTGGTGAAAGTATGATTCCTTTCAAAGGCAGGACCAGTTTACTGATGTACTTGCCAGCAAAACCAAGCAACTGGGTTCTGAAAGCCTGGAGACTAGCCAACACGAAAACTGGATACATCTACAACTGGCAGCTGTACTTGGGCTGTAAAACAGCTCAGGCATGAAAAACAGTTGGTGTTGCCCACAAAGTCATGTCCTCCCTGTCAGAGAATATACAAAGCAGGAGACATTTAATTTACATGGACATCTTTTTTTTCATCCCCAGCTCAACATGAAACAGGAGCCTGCAGCACTACACATGTGAACCAAAAGGGTGTGCTGAATGAAATGACATCAGTCAAGCTCACCTCCCATCAAGCACAGAGACACAGACACATTTTATATATTTCCTGGTATGACAAAAGGCCAGTAAATGTGATGATGACTGCCCACACTGCCAAGACCATCAGAAAAGAACTAGTCATCCCAGGATTGTGTACAAAACTTGTGCTGTGCAATCCTACTCTCAGCACATGGAGGGAATAGACAGAGCTGACAAGCACAAGCAGATAACCTACTACATGGTGCTTCACCAATGTACTAAGTGTGGGTAAAAAGTTTTTTTTTTTTTTTTTTAATTTATTTGCTTGAATTCTGCTTTCCATATGACTAGGGCATTGCAGGAGCAAAGTCAGCTTGCTGGGTCAATGCTGAAAAATTTAGGCTGTACATACATTCTCTGGTGGAAGGCTACCAGTCAGGTGTCCCACAAGAGAGGAAGGAGGACCAAAGACACCCCCTCACTCAGAACACCATCTTCTAATCAACCCCAATCACCTGAAATGTGGCAGGCCTTCTTATTCAAACAAGAAGTGCCACCAGACCCTGTTCATGTGCAGAAAGTGCAATGTGGCATTCTGCCCATACTCCTGCTTCCAAAGTCTGATAGACTACAAGGTAGACTGCACCCCAGAACTCTACAAAGAGTAATAAAAGTTAAAGTTTGTTAAATTGTTAATGTATTTGTTTTTTTTTTTTTATTTTGTGTTTAAATTTTTTTGTTTTCAATGCCAAAACAATATATTACATCAAAATATTACTCATCCATTCTTCTATTAGTATACAAAAAATAAAATCTATACACACAATACAAAGAAAACAATTTTAAAACAGTAGGTGCTCATGTTTTTGAACCCTCAAAGAAAAAAAAAAATCAGTGGCTGGGGAACAATTCTAGAAATAGTGGAGTAAAGGTTAATATAAATGCCTACTTTATGAATGAAACTATCTTTTAAAAAAGCACAACAATACACTTTAACTGTTGGCTTCAAATATTAACCCATCAGTATAGGATAAATGCATACTAACTTAATGGAATATTACAGAAGATCAAAGAATGGCTCTCAGTGAACAGAAATAAAGCAGGTGGAAAAGAGATAACATTGTTGCTTGTAAAAGGCAAAGTATTAATTTTTTTCTGTCTGAATTTCTGGAATGAAGAGTTATTTACATGTGGAACTTTGTTGTTTTTAATCACATTTTGGCCATTGTGTTCTCCAGTCTTCATCAGATGAATGTTGGTCTGTGTAACCTATTTAATCTACAAAGGTAAACTGTTCTGATTCCACTGCCCATGTCTAAGGATATCTAGTCTAGTTCTTATTTAGTACTGCTCAGCCCAGGGATTGAACTCACAATTACCAAGTCATCAAATTCACAAACTAATAGCTTTAATCTACTATGATTTTCCTTTCAGACAATTCCATCTAGCGACCTTGGAGCTTTAAACATCACCCACCTATTGATGAGTGCTTGACTGCACTCACTGAAGTTTCTCTTGTTACAGCTACTGCTGAAGACAGGGAAATTTCAGCCAGACTTTATTAGCAGCTCCTATATCATATTTCTACACTAGACCCTACCAAAGAGGTCCTCATAGCCTAGTATATGTGCTAATTCTTTCAAGCATCTTTCTCCAGTATTCCTCCTTATCAAGTATTTTCACTTTATTCCATAGGGGTTGATGACAAACATTCCCTTATACATGATCAGCCATATCAGATTTCATTGTTTCTCTTCAGTACAGCTATTCAATGTCCTTCCAGCCTTCTTTCACTTTTATATTCTTAGCAACAACTACAAGGAATGGAGTACAGAGTTCTTGGTCATGTTCTTCCTGTATGTTGGAGCTGCTTCTAAATATTGTCCTGATGTTGTATGGACTGCAGATCTTCTAGAATCTTTTCAGATAAGCCCTTACAGATGATGTTGATAATTTCACATTGGTATTTGTCTGGGTCGCCACCTATGACTTTTGCAAGGTGTTGCAGGCATTGGAGAATCCCTTTCTTTACAATGTATGGATGGGAGCTGAAGGTTGGTTGGACCCCATTCTGTGTGACTTAGTAGTACATATAGGGAGGCTAGCTAATTATTCTCCTCTTCAATCCAGTTCACAATGGTAGATCTTATTAATACTGTGGGATCAGTTTTTTTTAAATTTCTTATAAGTATTGGGATTTACAAAAAAAAAATAAATAAATAAAAAAAGTTGAACAACGGAAGATCATTGATCAATTTTTGTTAGCAGTATATCAACCTCTATAGGTTATTTAATGTCAAAATCTAAATATTTTTATTCAATTTTATTTTTATTTATTTAGTGATGCAAGTCAGACTAATTAACCCATAGCTGGAGGGAGAAGATGTGGATTCATACCTTTCCCAAGGATACTTGTGCATAAGTGAATATAACAACCAACTGGAATTAGAACTCTGCTCTCTGATTAACAATTCTCGGCCATTATTGACTACACTAACAGTACATTCAAGCTTACAGCACCTGGTATTTGCAAACGGTCACCCATCTAGATACTGAAAAGGCTTGATGTTGCTTAACTTCAGTGATCATATGAGAACTGGGGTTGCTGTAACTACCACTAGATATAAGCAGCCGTAAACCATGTAAGACAGCTACTGCTAGGTATAAACTAACAATCACGTAATGAATGTGGTTATATAACAATCAAAATACTATTTGCTTAACAGAATATAAAAATTACCTTAACATTTTGATTAAAAGCCACACATAGAAGATGAAAGAAAAACTTAAGAATTTAAGACCATGACACCTATTAGTAGTACTATTACTACAAGGCAAAGTTAATTTAAATTTGTTACTTTGATCTCTATCACACAGGAACCTACCAAACGTGAATAGTGATACTATTAACATTGTAGCTGCTCAGCCAACTAAGCACACAATGAAGAAAGTGGGTGTGCATGTGTTTAAATACAAAATAATCAATTGATATTAAGTCTTTAAGGCAACTACTTCAGACAAAAAAGGTAATGACTATATGGTAAAAAAAAAAAAAAAAAATGCATAAATTAATATACCTCTGTAATTATTTGTATACATTACTTACCTAAATAATTCATCAGATACCATTAGAACCTCAATGGCCTGTAGGTCTGCAGCTTTTTCAACAGCTTTTATTCTGAAATCAATGAAAAGGTGTAATACATTTTTCTCAGATGCCACTTCATTCAAATCAGGTTATATCCAAGCATTAATATCCTAACAACAGGTTATTTTTTTTTTAATTATTTCACCCCCAAAGCAATAAAGTGAGTTACTGGGTGTGAAACTATGATAAAAAAGGAAAGCATTAAAAGAACAGTAATTAAGACAGAATTTAATAATTGACATTCATCCCCAAAATTATAAATGCAAAGTTAATTGGAAAGCAAGAAGCTGGAAGAGACTTTCATAAGTGAGAAGTGTGAGGAAGAAAAATGTAAGCATAGAACTTACAGTTAGCCATTTCAACTGTAAAATGACAACATGTAGCTGCCAATCTAGCACTGCACTTAAATTTGTCAAGTAGAAATACCAAAGAGGAAATATCGTCAGCAATTACCATGAAAATATTTATACAAAATGCACAGGGGAGCTATAGTACAGCAGAGGAAAAGTGACTGAAGCTAAGATGTCAGATCAAGACCAATAACATTGCAGATTTTTATGTTATAGCAATATTCAATGCATGGATGAAAAGTAAGTAAGTAAGTATAGAGGCAAGAAAAATCGTTCAGCATGACACAGAACTTTCTTAGTAATTGATTCAATATAATCTTTTCATATCATTTTCTTTCTTCCTTCCCCCTCAAATCATGTTGCTTTCCAATTTGCTCCCCCAAAAGAAAGAAAATCCCAAATAATTTCATTTTTACACCACAGTAGTTAAAGGGAAACAAAAGGATACATTATGAACGTTAAGGGCTGTCACATTGGATTAGGCAATGTACTCTGCTTTGAATTCTTTAACATCTTTATGCTTTTGTTTGTTTTCCTACAAGTGATTTTCTTTAGTGTAGTAACTTATTTGTTCACATTATATTAAAAAAAAGAAATTAAATTTATCATCAGGTGCATATTTTCAAAATGTTTTATTCTTTAAAAATGAAGACATTTTTGTAATCTACAATTTAATATCTGTATATTTCTGAGAAGAGGTATTATGTACAATATTTACATTATTTGGGCTATGGCAGCAAAGATGAGGACAATAGTCTGAATAATGTAAATAGTGTACAATTTAATAGTTGCAGAAAGTTTGAAATATTTATGCCTTACCCATAAACTGCACGATCTTGATCATTCAACAAGAGATTGTAAAAATCATCGAGAGCTTTAACTTCTCCCAAGGCTTTTGTGTCTGCCAATCGAGCAGCAACAGTTGGGTCCTGCAACACTTCTGAAAAGGTGAGAGAGAGAGAGAGAGAATAAAAAAAACATTATATAGGATAAATTACTTTTACAACAAAGTATCTAACTGGTTCAAGTACATGATCTTTTATATTATTCAATATACATGAAACACTATCAGAGGAATAACCAATCACTTATTAAATTCTTTTTTTCTGTATATAATGTTTGCCAGAGATCAATTAAGAAATCTGACTTCAAATACTATCTTTACAATAGCACCAACTTAGGCAATATAAAAAAAAAAAAAAAGTTATAAGTTGATTTCGAGCTTCAACCAAAGAAGTATCACTGTGAATAAACTTGTTAGTGACTGCAGATAAAAATATAGCATAGGTACCTCCACGAGATCGCTAAAAAAAAGAGCATAGCATGATGAAAAAGACATCAAACTTAACGAAAACAAAATTTTATCGTCTAAATGTTTGTTATTATTAAGAGGAAAGATCAAAGTATTTTTTTTACATTTTTTAAATCGTTCCTAGCACGCCCAAAATTTGTTAAAAATCTTGTTTTTTGAGCCAGCAAAATTGACCATTTTTTTTCCATTTTATAAAAAAACTGGAAATCTCACTTTGAAATTCTTTTAAATATCAATTATTATTTCAAAACTTATTTTAAGAAAATCAGAAATTATAATGTTTATTTAAAATATCTTGAACCAAGCTTAACTTAGCTTAGCTTAGCTTCTGCGCCGAAAAGATGTAATTTGAAAATAAAACAAAGCAGGTCATAAACTTTCACGTCACTTGACAGGTGATGAATGACATATTGACGGATTCCGTGAGGATAATTTCTTCTACGGAAGGAGAAAAGTGAAATTATTTACATTTAAGTGAACAAATTATTTACATTGTCATTTTTAAGGAAAACTTTCAATGCTCTAATTTTTTTTTTGTACTTAGCCTTCACCTTTGTTTACAATGCTTTATAGAAAATATATTATAAAGAAATTAAAAGAAGACTTAAGAGTGACATTAAATTTCATAAGAAAGGTATCTAATTAATTTATAGGTACCTTTCTTATGAAATTTTATCAGAAGTGTACATAAAATACTATAATTTTATGTACATTTATTACATTTTACTGTGTTATTTGTATTTCCATTCATTTTATTATTAATTTTGATATTTCATTTATGGAAAAATGCCATAACTGAGATTAATATAAAAATAAGATCATATAAATTTCATAAGATGATACTGATACTTGTAGGTACCCTTCTCAGTTGAAATTGAAAACTCAAATTAACTTCTCTACACGAGTTTCGCAAAAGTAAAGGCCTTAACTGCGGAGAACAATGCTTAACTGAAATAACGCAACATAATTGTGTTCTGGTTGGTCTTCCGTATGTTATAATTACAGCCTCATTATAAACGCAAAATTACATTTCTTAATTACTGCGGATCTTCTGATGAGTCAAAATGATACAATTTACAACACGCTAAAAAAAAAAAAAAAATCTATCTCATAAGGACACTTAGGAAACCTGATGCGGCTTTTAACTAATTTTATATTTTAAAAAATTAAATGTAAAAATCTATTATAATTAAGAAATAACAATTGTATTAAAAATTCATTTTTCATTGAAAAAAAATCCTCAAAGCCTTGTGCTTTTAACTATTGTAATCATTAAACTAGACTATCGAATTCCTAGCGTTTTCATAAAATTAGTTGGGGGGGCAATATAAAAAAAATATTTCTGCCATGACTTAAAAAAAAGAAAAAAAAAAAAAAAAAATTTCAATCATCTGTGAATAGTTCCTGAAAGTTTCATTAACATCCAAAAATTATTTATATTTTTGCAAGATTTTCCAAATTAATGTGTCATACAAAAAAAAACGTGCTAAAAATTGTCTATGTTATTTACTAGTTCCGCTGATACAAAGAGAAACAAGGTTTTTTTTTTCTTTTTAATCAAAATTTAGAATGTTCTAAAAAGAAGAAAAATTTTTTAAAAATAATTAAAAAAAAAAAAAAAGTTTGGTCTTTCCTCTTAATAATAACATTAGCATTTAGACGATAAAATTTTGTTTTCGGCAAGTTTGGTGTCTTTTTCATCAAGCTATGCTCTTTTTTTAGCGATTTCGTGGAGGTACCTAATATAGCAGAAATGACAAGCACAGTTAGCAACCAATGTGTTAATATTTGAAAATATTAAAAATATCAAGAAAAAGAAAAAACAACAAAACAAACCAAACAAAAAACCTTACCCTTAAGTGAATGTTTAAAACCTGATGAGGAATGGATGAGTACAAATCTAGCTTTGTTTTCTAGAAGTGTTTTCCAGTCATTTTTGACTGCTTGATCAAACATGTAAGAGTAAAACTGGTCCTGAAATCAAAATTTCTATCATTAATCAATTCATCAAAACAGAATGGATTTCCGCAAGGTTTCTTTCTATTGGTCATCTTAATTATGATGCTTTTGAAACATACAGCAAGATTAGCTGCTGCTTACAATATTAGGTGACCTGATACCATTCAAGAAAAGGTTTTGTTTGCCATTACAAAACCTCAACATTAGAAATTTTTTTTTTTCTTAACTTCTGCTTACATTACTATGGAATTAAAAAGGGCAAGGCAGGGGCACTAAAAATGAGGACAATTGTATCAATGTATGCAGAATATACTAACAGAAAATCAAGCTGTAAGACCCAGAATATATTTCAAAATCTTCAAAAATTAAATGTAGAAGTAATATAACTGGATTGCAGTAAATGTTAATAGTTATAAATAAATACAAGCACAAGTTTCAAAATAAGAAGTGTATCAACAATATTAGGACACTATATCCTCCTTCGCCTTTAACAGACCTCTACTCCCACACACAATCATACAGTTGACAAATACCATCTTGCAATATATTATTGCACACCTCTTGCACCTGTTGATGTAATATAGCAACAGTTATAGATGGGCTATTTGAATGAGTTAGGTGTTGTCCCATCATGTTCTATGGGGAAAAGGTCTGGCTATCATTGCCGAACATCTTTTAAAAGTATATTGAACAGCATGGGTACCACATGAGTAGGTATTATCCTGCTGGAACAACACATCACCTTTTTATTGTATGAAAACAGATTGAACAATATTCTGGATGTAAATAGAACTATTGAACATTATGTCTACAAAAACTAACAGTGAGCAAGAATTGTAACTCATGGCACACCACATCATAATGACAGGAGTTTGGCTTGTGCATTGTGTACAAATAAATTTTGGAAGAAGCTGCTCCCAGATCTACATTGAACACACAAATGAAAGCAGAACCTGGTTTCACCACTGAACAGAGTGTCATTAAATTCCGAAGGATGATCATCTTAAAACGAAAGTGTTACCATTCAATTAAACATATGGCTAGAGATACAAATGTCCTCCTGAAAGTCAACTATTCCCAGTAGTCCCAAGGCACACATTTGCACAGCAGGTACCCTCCAGTCAACCATTAGATTTTTGGCAAGTAACAAAAAGAGAGGCCATCTCCAGAGTATGACGCAGGAACTTATCAGGGCATGTGTCATTAATAAAAGCTCAGATCTAGACATTGCACTGATATGCATATTACAACATCACAAGATGAGTGGTGACTGAAAATTTTACCAGAAAATCTGCTACCAACAAGCATGCACGTAATGTACCTGGGGTCAGAATCAATACCGTCCTTTAGGGTGTTGCAATTTTATTTTTCCATCAGTGCAGAGGGAAATTTATTAACATACGATATTTACCTTCACAAAACCAGGACTTGCAATAAGTACACACTTTACAACTGCAAATAGAAAAAATATTTTCAAAAACTAGCCCATGATGCTGTTCAGAATAGGATATTTTTTTTTCACTTGGGGTATATTTGCCAGTAAATCTTAATTCAGAGATTAAAACATGGAATAATAAAGTATGTAGAGAATAATGGTCAAATATAATTATAACACCCATTTTTAATTCAGAGTTTAAAATATTGAATAAAATTTTAATCTAGAATGTTTTCAAGAACATGGAGTTATAACTGAAAATGGTAAAGCAAGTTGATAACTCTTGATAAACACTGAACTAAAGAGAAATAATTCTTGTGAAATGATCCATTTGTTTCTTTGTACTACAATAAAAGGTCAATTTGGCTGAAACTTCATTAAAATACAATAGCATTCTTTATACAATATCATAGAAGTTTAATGCATAAGTTTTTTTTTCCAGTTATCCAAATAAAAATGAGCAGATGTTGAGTAATAATTACAGATATGTAATGTCCAGATTGAGAAAATTTATTTGCCAAAATTTAGCATACTTTTAAATAACAAAAAAGCACATTGCAAAATTGAATATATTTAATCTTATAAAAAATAAACAAGATTTATTTTTTCTAAATTTCCAAACTTTATAAAAAAACCTACAATAATTTACAAAGAGGAAAAAAATAAAAATAAAAAATGAAAATACTCACTTTCAAAATTTACATGTCTCATAATTGCCTGAATAATTTGGTCATAAAATTTGGTCAAGCCCTGAAAAGGGAACAGCAGCAATGATGATGATGACGATGATGATGAGCAGAGTAATGGCAGGAGGCACACAGACTATCTTTGAAAGTCTAATCAGAATAAAATTTCAAGATTTATTAACGCCACTTTTATATTAATATTAAGAAAGCTCAATTCTACTCTTTTTGCATCTTGCCTAGTCACTGACAAGACCATATTGGTAGACAAACAGTACAAGAAAGTAAAAATATCACAATGATGAATAAAACAACCTGCAAAATGAGTATTTTATTAATATTTACTAAGTTTAGCTTAGTAGGGCACAAGGCAAAAGGTTCATGGAAGGGGTATCTTATACCAATCTTCCAGATGAAGGCAGGCCTGTTTGCCATCCTGTGCTAAAATCAGCATTCAAATTACTACATTTTACCAAATACGAGAAAGTTCTTGTACCAGTGATAAATATTCAGTACTTAATTCATTCAGTCAGGATTAATATACAGAAAAGTGAATGGTTACTCACCACCAACTAATATTATATCCCAACCTCATATTCCAAGTATTTATTTTTAAAAACATTTAGTCGCATTTCAAGAGTTGTTTGGATTAGTGAACTTATCCTTTGTTGTTTTTATGATCACCAAGATGTTTTAGACAACCAATTCTATAACCTGCTTTAAGTATACAAACTGTAAGGAAAGGGAAAGGTGCCCCCATTATATATATATATATATATATATATATATATATAGTGAGATAGTTAAATTGGTAATCTGTATGGATAATTCCAGGGAGGATATAAATCCTGAGAGCTCAATGTAATTAACAGAACAAATAATAATTAATTAACAAATCATAGACTTCAGAAAGCCATTGTAATATTTTATTTCATGAGACCAATAAAATTTTATTTCACTTCATCAGACCTGGCAGTTTCAAAACAATGAATAAATTCAAAAATTCTTCCAGGAATCAACCGAAAAAATGAGATTAACGGAAGTTGTGTTTTAAGATAGTTCCACAAAGTAGGAAGGGAAGGAGAGATATATATCTTTTTTGGAGATGCGATGATTGTAGCACTGACCTCTTATCCACCAGACAAGAAAAAGGGGTGGAGATGATTTATCAAGAATAGAACAAAGAAAGAGGAAGAAACAGGGAACAAAAGAAAAGAAGGGAGAACCGGCGAGCTTATACAAATCCCTATACCTACATACATACACATGTGCCTACATCCATTCACACATTTACATTCATCTACACATTTACGTGAAAACACATACGTGCAGATATATTTTTACATAAATGTGTTCACCCATATGAATATATACACACACACACATATATACACCCATACTCAAATATTTATCTATTTGTATTCATAAACAAATATACACATATTTGATGAGTACATTCCTAAATAAGTACTTAGACAACATGTAAGATGTCCTCAAATACATTACTAATCGTGTAACTGTAAAGTAGCACTTAAGAGTGTTTTCCATCAATTGACCCCAAATACATACAGAACGCTTAATCTATGCACCTACTCATGGGAGAATACAGCATATAGCACACGAATACACACCTGTATCTATTTACTCAGATGGGGGCACACATGCTTGCATATACAAAACCCCAACACAGATACAAATGCAAAGAAGTACAATAGTATGCTTGTGCATACATGTACATGAAGAAGAGAGATATATAAGCGTTTGGTGCCCAGGTAAGAGGGTTTTTTGTAAAGTGTGGTCACATGATGAAGCGAGAGGAATTTCCATGAAGGATCATAAGTGGGAATTCTGACTGTGATTTATTACCCATTAGTATTTTATGTATATGAAAGGTTAAAACAAAATGTATTCATATATATCTGCATTTCCTCAGACATAAATATACACATATACCTATCCACATTTTATATATATCAAGTGTAATGTCAATCGACATCTCCAGTTGCCTTAATCTATCTACTACCCTCATCCTTTCTTCTATCACTCCTATCTGATCTTCCTATTTTCTGTAACCTCATGTCCCTAGTGGCTTCCCGCCTTGCTTGGGGTGAAATGTTAAAAAAAAAAAAAAATATATATATATATATATATATACACACACACACACACACGTAAAATATCTAAAACCCAAGTTGAGTTAATTTTCTTTAAAATTGATTTTAGAACTTTGAAGCGGTTCTTATGTCTGCATTTGAAGACAAGCTCATTCCATCAATTAAATAGTTCATTCGTGTTTTCATTTGATTATTACAATTTTCACCTTGATGCAAAGATCACATCTATCCCTGAAATTGTTAGGAATTTGGGCCTTACATATAATCCTCCATTTTAATTGCGAGATGAAGCCTTCATCAATAAAGTCTCAATAGTGTTTTAATAAGGCCGTCTGCTGTCTTAGAGATTCACTATTGAAGGAATGCCAGTGACTGTAGAAATGTTTCCAGTTTTCCATTGAAATTCTGATGTAAATATTTTTCTGCTTTACATTTTTCTTTGGAAAAATCGTAACTTCATATACCACATTTTCCAAAGTGCAAAACCCTCCCACTGTACAAATGGCCCCAACTCTAGAGCTACAGGGAGGTTAGTTCCCCTGTGCCTCACTGTCGTGAAATCTTAAGATATGGTTGCTGTGGGTATTGATTATATTTTCTACGTTGCCAACACAAGTAACTGATTTTTAAGGTTTTTCTATTGAATATTTTCTTCAAAGGATTGTTATTATTAATAAAGTGTGTCTATTAACTTGAAAAAAATATTTGCCAATATTGATGTTGGATAACTTGCAGAATGGTGGGTTAAACCATATTATCTTCCTTTTTCTATTTTTAGACTTGTTAGGCGTATCATTTTTCAGATTTAGTTGGTAATTTAGATCTTGTTTAAAATTACTTTTTCTAAGAGCCTGATTATATGTGACTTTATTCTCATTAAAAAATTTTTTTGTTAGATGATAACTTATTGATTCTAGTATTGACAATGTTAGGAATTTGTTTTAAAATTGATTTTGGGTGGTTAGAGAGGATGTTGATATTATATATATATATATATATATATATATATATATGGGGGCTTGATTTTGTTCATGAAAGGGCTTCAAAGTATAATTGGAAGTGACATAATCAGATATAATCAGGCCCTTAGAAAAAGTAATTTTACACAAAACAATTTTATACCTAACAAGTCTAAAATAGAAAAAAGGAAGATATGGTTTAACATAGAAAATATAATCAACTCCCACAACAACCATATCTTAAAATTTCATGACAGTGAAGCACAGGGGAACAAACCTCCCTGTAGCTGTGGAGTTGGAGCCGTTTGACCAGTGAGAGGGTTTTGCAGTTTTGGAAAAAATGGTATATGAAGCTACAATTTTTCCAAAGGAAAATGTAAACCAGAAAAATATTTACATCAGAATTTTAGCAGGAATTTGGAAACAATGTTTTTGTATATGCAAACATCTGTGCCCCTGTCTGTGTAAATAGGTACAGGTGTGTATTTGTGTGCTATATGTTGTATTCTCTCATGAGTAGGTGCATAGATTAAGGTGTTGTGTATGTACCTCCCTCCTTCCCTTTCTACTTTGTGGAACTATCTTAAAACAACTTCTGTTAATCTGATTTTTCGGTTGATTCCTGAAAGAATTTTTGAATCTATTCATCGTTTTGAAACTACTAGGTCTGACGAAGCAAAATCAAATTTTATTGTACTCATGAAATAAAATATTACCATGGCTTTCTGAAGTCTCAGATTTATTAATTGAGATATATATATCACACATACATGCATGCACACACACTTATTTTTTTAAATTAAACATTGTTTTCCATTAAAAAGTGTAGCAAAGAAAGAATGAAGAAAAAAAGAATATATTAGCCTCTCACCTTATCATGTTGAGCACACATGCCTTTTCTCTTTCGAGGGATGTTTGTCTCTATTTTAGCCCGCACCAAAGTCATATTTGAAGTAACTAAACAGACATGGCCAAGACCTTCTTGCATCACCACAGCAGCAAGGTCTGCATTCTGGGTTGGATCACAGGCAGAATCTAGAAAAGAAAAGAATTTAAATTCTGCTGATATCATACAATCTTTACACACACACACACACACACACACACGCATGCATGCATGCACACACAAACACTTACCAATTCGTTGCAATGTCACCGAGTCCCAATGTTTAACAAGTGTAAATTTTCGATTAAGTTCTAAGTCAAGTGTGTGATAGGCACCCATCTGTTATAAAGAAACAAAATGAAAACCAGAGACATTGGAGAGAGGATTTATATCACTAATATCCCCATTTTAATAAAGGTTTGGGAGAAATATATTAAAGATTAAAAGAAAAAAAAAAAAAAAGTTCAAACTTCCAATTTATCTATTATATAAAATTCAGTTAGTACATGTGTGCAAAAACACTGAAAATTAAGACTGACAATATAAATGTAGTTTTATTATGTCTTTTCAGCATATCTTATATATACAGCACAATATTTCTCTATTAAGCAAAAACTGCTAATTTGCAAAGTCAGTTTTAAAAATCAAATTATTTAAAGCATTTTGTCATTCATTTCCACTATTCTTTTGTGATCTTTATTAAAATAAGCAACTGCTTTGTTTATGACCTTTCATAATTAAACTGCTTATTTATACAAAAAGCCATTTCCTGTTTTGAAACTCCTTAGCAGTTAAGTTACAGCATGGGCATAAAGGGAAGTAAGCAATGTTGACATTTTTAACGGTACATTTTGAACATTAAGCAAATATTACAATACTAGAAATACTCATGAAAATTTCACATTTATGTTATTGAATTTTCTGAAGAAACATGATTCTTAATGATTAAATAAGCTCCTTTCGAATTCTACAACTATAAAATAACCATGGAAATTCTATTGCATTGAGCTTAATAACAAAGACTGTAATAACAATGAATGCAGGTCACTATTTAAAGTAAGATGGTTACAAATGAAAAAAGTTTGACATTGACAAGTTTTTTTCATTTAACTGAAGCAGACATTAAACATGAGTGTTATTGTCCTCTCTTTTTTTCTTACTGAAACCAGTTTCTCCAATATGTCTTTTCTGTCTTTCCTCACAATCAAAACATAAAACAAATGTAAAAAGAGAGTGATATCTTTACCTTGACATACTGGTTCTCCTGGATATTTCTACCCTTAACTCGGAGAACACAGGCTTGTGTGTCAAAATCTATAGTCTCAACAGCAATGGTAAGTACTGTCCGCACTTTGCTGGCACTCACACTACCTGTAGAGGATTCATTCTGAACTTTCCTGAAACAGAATAACCATTTATTATAAAAGGAAATTTGCAAAATTTAAATTCCAACACACATGAACATCAATGTCTCTTTGTTAGAGAAATGAGCTGAATTGAAAGTAATCATGTTTCTCTTCCTTTTCTGGAGTTTTTTTTTTTTAATCATTTCACTCCAAGAAAGGCAATAAAGCCACTAAGATGCGGGGGGGGACAGAGTGTGAGAGAATATAAGGAAAGAAGAAACACTATTAAGGAATGAAAACAATAAAAGAACATATCAAGAAGACAGAAGATAATGATTGACATTATATTTAATTTTTTTTTGAATATCAACACTGGCTAGAACAAAAGAAGCCAAAAGAGTTCTGCAAGTGAAAAAAACTTTTAGCATAGAATTTACAATTACATCTAATCATTTCAACTGTCAAATGATGAGACCTTGCCACCAATCGAGCACTATGCTTAATTTCATAAAGATACCAAAAAGACTTATCAGAACAATTACCATGAAAGTAGCATTATGGTAGTGGGAAAGTGACTGAAGCCGAGATGACAGGACCAATAATATTGCAGAGTCTGCTTTAGGACTTTATCAAGAATCTCTAAATATATAGCAGGAGCACCAGACAATATGTAGCAGCAATATTCAAGACATGGATGAATGGTAGACTTATAAATATATCAGATGGATTTGGGTGAGAAAAATCGTCTAGCATGATACAGTTAATTTTCCTAGCAGCAAACCTAGCAATTTTATTCAGTATAATCTTTCCACTTCATGTCAGCGGAAATTAATGGCTCAGATGGGCACAAATATTTACATGGTTTTTTTTTTTTCATACAATTCTATCACTTTTTAAACAATCTCTTCTTTAATGTACCTGCTTCTATGAGCAGTATGGTTCTATGAATTTGGGGTGCTGTAACAGATGTAAATACAAGACAGTTGTTAAAATATGAATAGTTATAACTATGTAGAAAGTATCACAAGCTATTTTTTTTTTAAAATGGATCCCACCCACTTCAATAATAGTTACAACTTCAAATAATTCTACAGTCTTCCTCAATTGTGTAACTCAAGGAACATTTAGTTTTTGATAACATGTTATTAAAACAAGAGAAAAATATATACCAACCAGAAAGGGCACAAATCATATTCCAAGTTGAAATCCAAATAAGTGGATAATATTGCTGGAGAGCAAGTAAACTGACAGCAACAGCATTCATTGTAATATAAGTTTTCTTTGCTGGGCAGGAAATTGGAAGGTATCCCTGTGTGTAATATTGAATATGTTACATGACTTGCTAAGAATGGTATTGTGTGCCTTGCAATGCTGGAAATCAGTCAAAACAGTTGGGATATATTAACATATTATCACCCCCCCACACACACTTTTCAGTAAAAATAAGAATAACCCACTCTTTCCTTATAGATTCTAGAGTTAAAGAAGGCAACAGATTGAACATATCAAAACATTGCAATCAGAATAAAAACAAGAGTCTAATAGACTTGGAAGTTTTGTTCTAATTTCGTTATTTTCATGAACATAGTCCAAGCCTAGCACAAAGTCATATTTTTGGAGTGTTCAGTAAAACTCACTGTCAACAGTTTGTAAGGCACAAGCATGCTTTTCACTGTGCTTAGTCAGTGTAACAAAGAAAAAGACTGCATTAGAAGTTAGCTATTTCCTCTTTGTTGAACACATGATGATGAATACTATCACTGGAAGACTAAAAAGTAAATGAAAAATTAAATACAAACACTGAACGTAATTCCAAAGAACATTTTGTACTGTGTGAGATGGTTCTTACCTGATTGTCGTGGACTTGAGTGTGTCACCTACAGCCACAAGATTATAGGCATGCCACATGTCCTCTGCTTCATCAGGAATAAGTGTAACAGATCTAAGAAATCAAAAAGAGATAAGATAATAATTTTGGTTTTGAATAATAAAAAAAATAATCATATTAAAAGAGGAAAAAAAGATTTTCATGGGATTTTAAAAGTCCAGAGAAAATAAAGCTATGATAAATGATAGTTTTATGATCAGCTTAAAATAAAATAAAAATTCACTTGAATAATTTTTAAAATTTTTTGATGCCAGAAGTGGGTTATTATAGAATTAAAATGGATATAAATATCGCTAATTTGCAGATGAACCAATGACTCACATTTATAGTAATTCCTATCACTTACAGTTAATTTTTTTAACTCAAGTTAATATATTTTTAATTCTCTAGGGGAAAATGTTGCTCAATTGAGATTTTTGGAAATTATTTTTATCTCAAACATAAGACATCTTCAATAAAAAATATTCCACAATAATAAAATGATTTCCATGGCGATAAGGTTGGAAATTTGTGAGACTGAAATAACTGAGAGAAATAATTTGATAATTTTTTATAGGTTAAATAAAAATTTATTAAATAACACAGCTTAATATTGTAAAATAGTCATTCAAACAATAGACCAATAAAGTTAATGTAATTAATGGCAAACTCACTTTGCTAACTGATTAAAAAGGCATTAACTCACTGATCACTTGCTGAACAACACAATCCTTGTATTTATTAATTGTACAAGAGATTAGATGTTTTAAAAAAAAAAAAAAAATCTATGCCTGAGGATGGTAAATGTTTTACCAAAAGTACTTGCAAGCAATATAGACCAAAGAGTTTCATAATCAAACAAGGTTATATATATATATATATATATGTGTGTGTGTGTGTGTGTGTGAGAATTTGTGTAGAAACATACTCCTTCAATGATTTCTCTTGATTGATCATATCTGCTCAAGAAATATACCTTAATGTAAACAATGACAACATATTATGAAATGGATTAACTTCTTTGAGTCTGAATGGTTGACAGCACATCAGATCAAATGATGATTCCCATTAAGGGTTACAGGTCGGAGAAGCATATATTTTCTGCAAAATTTCTAACATTCAGGCTGGTAAATGTAATTAATACTGTTTAATTAAAAAAATAAATAAAAAAACAAAAACAAAAAAAAACAGAGCATTTAGTTAAATTATATCTATAAAAATAATGTATGAAAATATGTGTGTGTGTATGTATATATATATATATATATATATATACACACACACACAATACAAGCATGCATAGTTTAAATGATTATATACCTCAGTTTTACCAATTATATTTTACTGTTAATTAATCACCTTTAACTAAAATTTGTAGTAATGCTTTCCAATAACCTGCATGTTTCAACTAAAAATAGCAATCAGTAACTAGGCTTAAGGAAAGTTACAGCAGGGATGATAGATTTTCATTTACTTACAGGAACCAATAAAGGAATATTTTTTTTTAAAAAGAATTTTTCTTTGAACTTTAACTGAAACAGGGATTAACAAGAATAGAATTAATTCAGCACTTAACTCAGCATTAAAATGTATGTATTGCAATATTTTCCAATGCATATTTTTCTATTGAGAACAACATTATTATATTACAGTATGAATGCCCTTGGTAAAGGGCATGAATACATCTCTTCTCCTCCCAACCATGTGTTAAATAGCAGGGTGAACTTAATTCTCTAGCCTTGGGTGGAAGCCAGTCTAGACAAACTACTTACTGAACTACTCTGAATTAGAATAACCAAGGAGAAAGCAATGGGAAACCACCATATTTCTCAAGAAGTTATTATAATAGAATTTAATAGATGAACAAAATAAAAAACAAATCCATGGAGAGCCATAGCCTATAATCCTGAAGGGCCCAAGAGAAGCTATCAAAAATACAAAAATCAAGTATTTTGCTAAATTCCTTTTGAAATTAATATACAAATTATTTAAAATAAAGATTTCTGAACAAAATCCAAAATTCCTTTGACTAGAAGGAAAATACAAGTGTTGTTTTAAACAGTCACATAACCAATTCTGAAATTATTATGAACAATGCAAATGACTAATACAAAAAAAAAAAAAACAATGTTGTTCTTTGTTAAAATTTATTGCTGGAGTGCGTAGGGTATGTAGAGAAAAATCAAATGCTTATTGCCAGTCTTCGTCAAATGAATGTAGCTTCTTGTGAGACTGATCTCTTTGCTGAATGAATGAAAGTGTAGGTTTGGTTTGTTTTACGGCATATCAACCTCAATGGGTTATTTAATGCTGACAACATTTTTTCCTGGTAATATTTTTTCCTCAAAAATGTATTAGCTGGTAATTTTTTTTTCTTCAAAAATTTATTTCTGGTAATAATTTTTTACAAATTATTTCTAGTATTAAAACCTATTTTTACACTTTTAATGCTTTTTACGTCAGTTTCGGGGTTAACTATTTGCCCGTAGCTAGGACCTTAACAAATGCTAACACCCTGGGTCTGGGAACACCAGCAATTAAGAGGTGGTTCCACGCTCCTCAAAACCTCTTGATCAGAGGCCTTGCTGTTGGATGTGTAGTTTATCATCTTACCCTGGAAGGCAGATGTAGTTTGTCATCATACCCAGGACGGAATGAAAGTGTGTGTGGGGGGAAGCTTGTTTATAGTTAGATACACGGACGTAATGCTTAATTGGTACTACTTTTTTTAAAAACAATATTTTTTAAATATGTTTAAAATTTTAAATACGTTGTGCAACCTACATATATAATTCAAATTTGATAGGAACTTACTTTGTCTTATCTTTCGTTCTTACAAGTTTATTTGAAAGTTTTTGGTTTTATGGTTAAAAAAAAGTTATTTCTAAAAATAAAATAAATGAAAAATTGGAAAACGAGTTGTTCCGCAGAAGTCTCAAACTACTCACAAACAAATATTTTTCTTTATTTTTTAAAAAGGTGTGTGTGAGTGTGTGTGTGGGGGGGTTATTATTTTTAATTCTGAGCTTGAATTACTAATCACTATGTAAAAATGTAGTGTGGAATTGTTGCCAATGAGTAGAGAGACTCAACAAAACTCAAGAAGAGGAACAGATAGATCGAGATTCATATACAAGGCGAATAATGAGTTTTTGTAGCAAACTTTCAACATGCTTTTCAATTTAAACAAAGCTATGCAATTTAGAAAGAATAGTATAACGAGCCAAAATATCATTATCAAGCTAAATCCTTTTAATATTTAAGTGCTTTGTTGATTTCTGACACCAACAAAATACAAGAAATATGGAAATTTAACCAAGGAGGACAAAATGAGAAACATGACCGCAAAGATGAGGACACATTCCTAAGCACCAACAAAATACAAGAAGTGAAAGGACATATAATCCATAGAGAGAATTATTTTCATATTAATATTTTACGGGGACAACATAAAAAAATAAAATAAAAAAGCTGACTTTTTTTTTTTTTTTTTAAAGCAAAGCCTTTGTTCCCAGAGAGATAACAGATATATTGCCTTTTAAAAAAAAAAAAAAAAAAAAATCATTTATTGCATCATTCATTATCATGATCTTTGAATATGAACGTGCTTAACTGTTTGGGAGAAAAATAAGTCCCTAGAAACAATTGTCAAAATATTCGAGCAAGTAATACTGTAATAACAACACTTGTTGGATTATTTTTGTTTTTCTTTTAGCGAGAGAACAGTTTCAATTCTACCCTTGATAAGTTGCAAAAGAGGGGAAAAAAGACAATATAAAACGAATTCACGAAAGAAGATTAATTCTTTTGAAAAAAAAAATATATCTTTGCTGCCTCAAGAAATCTGAAGCAATAAAAAATTAAGGGAAAAAAAACGAATTTAAAATTTAGGAAGAGTTTAACTTTCAAGGGACGAACAACCAACAGAAAATACTACAATACTATTCACTAAAAATAAAATCATTTTTTTTTTTTTTAATGCGTTAAATTAAAAAACAATAACCTTAAGAAAAAGGATACAAATAATAACAAGTAATTTGAAGCATGTGTGTAGCATTATATACGAGAATCAATCTTAATTTGATATTGAACTTTTATCCTTCCATTCATGAGAGGGGGGAAAGTTTAGGGAACTAAATTTAAGATAAAAAAATATATCTACTCTAAATTTTTATTAAAAAAATAAAAAAAAGTCTTAACACTAACACTCGCTTATCTGTAATTTTTTTATGGTCCTGTTAAATTACGAAATCAAATTTAAATACAAAAATTAAACTCATTTGTTTACTTTTAACTAAAAAAGTAATTCTTTTTTTCACATAAAATACGTAAACAAATCAAAATGTAAACGAAAAATGCTTGGATTTTTGATTGGAATAATTTTAAAAAAAGAAAAGAAATCAATTAGGAGACAATTTAGAAAACAATGAAAAAAATTAAATGTAACTGCAGCTAATCTAATATTTACAGACGGAAATTATAAAACCTTTTTTTTGTTGTAAATTCTGCCATTTTTTTTGTAAACAAATAAGTTTTAAAACATTTTTTTAATTAAAATGATCTGCCACATGTTTCTATCAAAGAATTTGTTGTACATCAAAAACAGAACAGTTTTATGTCGATATCCACCTTAAAGCTTTTCGTAAACACATAATTAACATTTAATTATTTCAATGTTACCGTCCACAGAACAATTATATGACATTTTTCTCTTTCCGTCTATTTTTGGCATTAAAAACGTAACAAAGTTCGGGAAAATTTTTACTGTTGGACACCAACACAACAAAATACTTTAAAAGACAACTGATCAAAGACTTTACAAGTGGTACAGATACATAATACCAGCTTACCCATCATTATTTTTATCAATATTTCGGTGTGTGAGCTTCATGATTCCTTGTTCAAGAAGCTAGTGACACCAGTATAACATGCTTGTCAGCTCGTCGCCATTACTCATATACAGCCGCTAAACATGCAGAAACGACTACTTCGCGTTACAAGCGATGATTCTATTGGTTAATTTTTTTTTCGGTAGAAATTGTTTCAATGCTTTTCATTGGTCATCCTTTTTTATGGTAAACTAGTAAGGTTCTGCTAAAATTACATGGTAATACCACGTAATAATAATAATAATAAAAAAGTGGTATGACTATTAAAAAAAACTGTCATCATTGATTCTTTTTTATTCATTTTCATCATAATGGTATATAGTAAATACAGAAAATAATTCGAAGATTTTATTTCCTTTAAACTTGAAATACTTCATTCACAGTCATGTTTGTTAAATTCAAACAAAACAATATATTTTTCATTTTTTTTATCATTGAAATTCTTGCCCAACTGTCCTCCCTGTTGAATTGGCAATTAATTTTTAGCAGCTTTGTTTCTGCTACACATGAACAGTTCTTCTTCTTCTTTACGTCTTATCTCTTGTTGCAGAATCCCTGGAGGAGGGTGTGTGGAGGGTGATATAATATAGGATATGGCCTGTGCACCCAAGTAAAGAAGAATTATAGGAGGCTCGCAAACATTTAAAAATAAATGATGTAAATCTGACAGGTCAACAAGAGGACAACAAAAACGACAAACTTAAATTAATACAAAATTTATTTGCATAATATATATATATACAAAAGTAGTGTTTCAGTTAAAGAAACATGAAAAAACAATGAATCAGGTAAATGACGGAAGAATTAAGTAAATGGGGGAATACTAACCGGATAGAAGATCAAAGATAATATAACCGTGACTAAATGTTAAAAGTAGAGTCCTGGTAAGTTGGCTGGAAATGCCAAAGTTCAAAAGTTCAGTTTAAATGTATAGTGCTGGCATTGAGTAGTTGCTGTTTAAGTCAAATGATGGAACCTTCCATAGTATTTAACCCAAGTGTACAGTATAGGTTGTTTGAAGTATGGATGATATGCATACATCAACTTCCTAAACCAGGCGAGTTAGGGTGACAGGAAATGCCAGAAATAAAGTGCCAGTAGTGTGTTTGCAATGAGCAGTTGAAGACAGGCCGAAATAGCTGCACTGTCCATTGCAGATGTTGTTAAAGGGTTTCCCTTTCAATTTAATTAAAAGAATTATTTCAGATATTTAATTGCATCCTAGAATACATTCCTTTATGTCTTAGTTTAATATGATTCCTACTCTCCTCATTTTATATTCTGTCTGCATATATGACTCCGTGTTTGTCACTTACAAAATCCCCATTGTTTGCCCACCTAGTTTTGCATATACCTAAAATATTAACCGTTAACCTATTCATTTCCTACCTTATATTCTCTAGTTAGCCACATTGATTTAGTGTTCTGACATTCCATGTCCCTAAAACTATTTTCTATTTGATGTTTGCTTCACTTATCTGACAACCATTGTAACATGCCAACATTGAGACATTTGTCAAGATGATAAAAAACAAAAGTGAATTTATGCCTTTCTAAAAGCATTAGTTCTAAGTAGGTACAATTCAAACTCCATTTCATAGTTTTCCATTCTATTAACTGTTAAATTAAATATGGATGATTTTACTTCTGTTGTTATGTCAGTTTAACATTCTAAGTACCACAGAACATATTTGACCAATCTATTATGGTCAGATTAATCTACTTACTGCTTATATGAATTTGAAATTCTTATGAAAAACTTCAGGAATCCGATTAAATTAGTAAAGGCTATAATTCCTATATCTCTTTGCAATTCATACTACTTATTGTTGTATACATGTGTTATAGTTTCTGTGTGGGACAAGTGTAAATATTTGTATATAATTTTGTGTGTCTTAGCAGTATAAAAACCTCTTTAAGAACAAAGCATGTTTGTCATTGCTATTCTTTCAGCTATTCTGTTCTGTCTGTTTATTAAGGTGTTAATATATCATGGATATAATAATGCCCATAATGGGGAGAAATACAAATAGGGAATAAACCTTTCATAGATAACACCTCATCATAAAAAGCTGACACTTTATAGATTAAAAAATTGATATGTTTTAAATGCTGTGTAAATTTTATCTTTCTCTGTAGATTATAATTAAATTTTATTTTAAGTTGGTTCTTGTACACTGTCATATAAATGGCAAACAATCAACTGACAGCTACAAAACAGAAATTATATGCTACTTTTTGTCTCACCCTGTATAATCTTTTTAATTGCAGAAGTGACGTCTGGTTTGCACTATATTAGATTTTATTACGCAAATTAATATTTTCACAAGTATTAACCAACTTATATTGGTAAAACCTTTTTTTATATGAGCAATATATAATGCAGGTTTCAACTGATAGTATTTATCCTTATTAAAAATATTGATGATAACTTGTTTTGGAGATGCCAGATTTTATTATGCAAACAAAATAAGTACATCAATTTTTATTTATAAATAAATGGGTCAATATGATATATAAATTTCTATATATCAAAACAAATTTAGGCAAATGAATGATGAAAATGGAGAAAATATTTTGTGTAACACGTTTTGTCCCTTTGTTGATGGAATTATATATGTATAGGAAGGGAAGGGGGAGGTATATAAAAATGCAGACTGTTTTGCTGTATCACAGCTCATCAGTGTGGCAAGACATCCAATTGCTTCAAGCCGAGATTGAAACTCGACAGATTTAACATCAGTCAGAGACGCTTACCCCTAGGTTATCTGTGCACAGCAGAGGAAGGGAATTTTAAACACATTAAATACGTGATGTATATAAACGCTATACTGGCTGCCAAAGTACTCAATTCTTTCAAAGAGCAATGCATTTAAAGCAGCAGCAGCCATTAAAAATTCCCTTTCTCCTTAGTGCACAATCGGCAAATGAGAGCATATATATATATATATATATATATATATATATATATATATATATATATATATATATATATGTATGTAAACTCATTAAGGCCTTTTTATCAGACCTAAACATGGTCTTATGGAGTTATAATGCCAGTCACCATTCATTCCTGATTTTTATGTCCACACTGCTTATATATTATGGGCACATGGATGAATGGTTAGAATGTTCATTTTCTGAACATGAGACCTGTGTTCAAATCTCACCAAGGTTGTTTTGTCAGGAAGGCGACTTCCTGACATTATTGGTCTAGAGGGAGATGATCCCAGCGTGCGCCACCTTTGGAAAGTGCCTGAAAACCATACCATGAGCGAGTTGACCCAAGCCTTATGAATGAAATTGGGTAAATGGAGCACTTGGGGGCCATCAATAGCTGTGTTAGTATGAAGCTACAAGTCATCGTGGCCGAGGACATGAGTGTGCTGGCCTTATTCAAATTGTTGATCATGCTAGATAACATGCTCTCTCCCAGAAACTGTAACTAAGGTCAGCATAGTTGCAGTATAAACCACAGATTGGCTCTGTGGGTGTTGAGCAAACACAAATGTGCCTGACAAGCGTCTGCAATACGGATTGGTTAACGGCCCTAGTAAACAGGTATCCTTGAATACGAGTGGCCTGTACTGCACTAGTAAGTACCTGATTCCTCATGTTATTCTCTATCTTTATAAGAGCCAGATCAGACCGAAAATGGAGAACTGTTGTCATATTTGGGCAAGAGCTGTCCAGACTTCACTTGCCAGTCTTGATAGAGTTCAAAAGTGTCTCCAAGTCCTTGTTGGAGAATTATTATTTTCCACACTCAAAACTCTCTCATAGGCAGTATGTGGGGAGTCTTTCACTGCTCTGTCACTACTACCATGGAAAGTGCTCAGATGAACTGCATCTCCTGGTTCCACCAGATCACGGCTTGGACTCACCATGCCACTTACAAAATAACAAACCACCCTCATTCCCTCTGTATTCCATCAGTGAGAAGTAAGTTCAACTCAAACAGCTTATTCCTGCAAACCACTACCCTATGGAACAGACTCCCAAGAGAATGTTTCTCTGATCACTACAATCTTAACATATTCAAGTCTAGAGTCAACCATTATGTTCTCCTGCTACCCATATAAGCTACCCCTTAATGTAACTCTCTACCTTTAGTGGCCCAGGCCTTGTACAGGGTGAACCTTACTGGAATAAAAAAAAAAATACATTATAACATCTATATAATAAATGTGAATGTCAGTGTGTCACACTTTTTCAACTTTAACCCTTAGAGGTCACAGCCCAACATACTATTTTGGAATCAGGCCCACTCTGTGAGCAAATTAAAAACATTCTGGACTGGATTTGTTTTTTTTTTTTTATATGATATTTTTGTGATGAATTCTTTGTATAACAATAATTTTTATAACTTGGAAATAAATTTGGAAATAATCAAAATTAATTGAGCCCATAAAATAAAAATAATTGTATGAAAAGTAAGGAGCTACATACATCAAATTGTCTTTAAATTAAGTGGCGGCAGAAGAATTATCGTTGAACTTTTAAAAGGTAATTTTAAATATTAATGCAATACTTAAATGCAGCGATCAATTTTGAGTTCTTCTGTAGTTTATTGTTGCCTATTGCATCGTCTACTCCTCCCTACCTATTGTGATGAAGGCCCAATCAGGATTTCTCTGCAAGAGCTAGCTTAAATGCTGCTTGGTAGGCTAGTTTTTAAATAAATTTAAATATGCATAACACTACAATTCACTACAGTACATTAAAAAGTTTTCTTATAAACAACAACTTGAAAGGTGAAGAGGCTATATGTGTCGTGTAACTTGATGGTAAATAAATAAACAGATGCATGCTGGTTTACTGCCATTACATATTTTGAAATAAATGCAAGGAAGAAATAAGTATGTATAATAAAAAATATACTTATTATTTTGAAAAAATAACACCTGTTTTAAGGTATTATTTCAAATTTTCACACAATAGGCTAATTATGAAGCTCAGTGGAACAATAAACCTTTGTTTACTGTCTTTAAATACAAATTAAAACATGTCTGCCAGCCTGAATTTTCAAGAAACCTTATTAAAGAAAAAATTGCACTCTCCAGCAGAAATTGAACATGCGTGCCCCAGGACAGAGGGAAGTACTGTTAAGCTAAGCTACAGAAAACAGTTAGTCAGGCAAGGACAAATTTGTACCCATAAGCAAAGCTGCTCTTGTCATAGATCTCTCTAAATTTTTCATATCTGCACAGTTTCATATGCATGACAAGAAAAGTTTCACTTAAAGGCACAGGTTTAATGGTATCTCCCTTTGCCTTTTCTTTTAATAAGAACATAAATCTAAACCTGCCATACATAATCCTTTAAAGTTTTCTCTGAACATGGATTCTACATTATCATGGGTATGTAAGAGACTCTTCACCTATTCCCTCTTGGGTCAGTGTTTATATATCTACCTGTCATCCAGTATGTCCCATGTGTGCACATAATTGTAGATCTGGATGGAGAAATAAGGAAATGTTAACAAACAGCACTATGAATAGCCAAAAAAAAGCTGCATCCAGATTCACATTTCCACCCAATAACCCCTAGAATAATTTGAAACTTAACCCTTACCACCCACCAAAATAACCATTCAAACAATACACTAGATTACCCCAATGCATCACTGACCAGTATATATAGTTGAGCAAAAACACAATGCATATGACTTGAAGATTGCATATAAGCATGAAACAGACTTGTCACTGGGTGTTAATGATGACGTCCATATATAAATAAAATGTATATATATTTTTGTCATTTGCAGACAGTACTGTTTCACTATATCACAGCTCCTCAGTGTGACTAGATGTCTGAATGCTTCAGGACTGAAACCCAACCTATTTGGTGTCAATCAGAGTTTCTACTACTGAGCTATCATCATTCAGCAGAGAGAAACAGATGATTCTAGTGTATTGTTTTTACAAATGTAAACAGACAACAATCAGTCAGAGGGCTCCAATATCTATGTCTATGTGTGTGTGTATGTGTATATATATATATATATATATATATATATATATACACACACACATACACACACAAAAAATCAAGTTAGTACTTGGCATTACAATTCACAGCACCATGATACCAATGCAATAAGCTTGCTTGAAAAACATGTGGATTAATGTGTAGATGACCCGCTGGACTAATGAGTTATCAGAGATGTCATCAGCAGCAAAGAAATCAATAACAAATTTTTGTAAGTGGTCCTACTTGGAGATAAGTTGACTTTCTACTGTCTATTTGTAATTACTGATGGAATATGTACAGTAACAAAAAAAATATTAAATAAAAATTTACACTATGTTATTTACCATTGGACTAATGTCCTTATTTTCATTATTATCATAGTGTTTCAGCCGTTGTGCTCTATGGCCTTCTTCAGGTGCCTGTATATCTTGATAACCTTCAGAGAATTTAAAATGAAACATTTATTTAATATGCAGGTGGTAGATTGTTTTTGTTCCACTGACCATATCTAAGGATATCTCATCTTGTTCTTTTTGTTTAAGTAATGATCAATTACTGAGGAAAGAGCCTGAAAACACACAAGGGGATGAACTTGACTCAATTCATGTGAATGAAATTGGTTAAACAGAACTATTCAGAAGCTGTCAATGCTTGTGCCAGCATGAAGTCACAAGTCATCAGTTTGAGTCTACTGGCCTTATTCAAACTGATCATCCCAGATAATGTGCACTCTTTCAGGTACTGTAACTAAACTCCACTCAGTATTATTACAGTATTAAGTACAGGGAGGGGGTCTGTAGGTGCAGAACACACACAAATGTGCCTGAGCAGGCGTCTACAACAGGGATCGTCTAGCCACCCCTAACAGATAGGTATGTTTGAAAAATAAGCAGCCAGCCATTATTATTTTGAAGAGAGTCATAAACAACACAAACAAAATTTAGATATGTTAAGAACAGCTTTTATTTACATTGTAAATATGGTTTTCTCAGTGATATCAAGAATTGCTGAAAAAAAAAAAAAATGTTAGCTCATAGCGATCTGAATGCATCTCACTGTGAAGTAATAGGAAGTGTATTTCTCTCTCTCCTTTTTGATCATACGGAATCTGATTTTGCCTGCAATCATATATATATATATATATATATATATATATATATATATATATATTTTATTTAGGAATGGATTTTTCATTTATTAATTTGACATATTTTATAAGTGAAATGTTATTTTTAGTGGATACCTATATTTGAATAGATGCCCTGTTTATTTATTAAACAGTATATTTATTTATTTTCATGTACTGGCCTGAATATTTGAGAAATCTTGAGCACATATTTTTCTAATAAGTTTTCTCGACTATTCAGACTGGTAGATGAAAATAAATAAGTAAACAGCATCTATTCAAATATGATTTTACACTAAAATAATGTTTAAATAACAATATATATATATATATATATATATATATATATATATATATATATATAAAATATAAAATGAAAATTATGACAAAGTGGAAAAATCTTTTGTGTGATGCATTTCATTCTTGAGCACTTCATTGGATAGTGAAATTTTAAATTTCAGTGTCTCCTCTCCTTCATGCACATGTGTAATCACATCAATGTAAACCTCACTTTAGTTTTATTTTTTTTCTTATTCTCATGTTAGGAAGAAAAGAAAAAAAAAAAAAAAAGAACAGTCTTATAAAAGTACAATGATATCATTTGTCAGCAATTGAGCCTGTTTTAATTAATAATATTGTTGAATGTTCAGCACTGGATCCCTGCTATGCAATATCCTCTTTATTATTACATCAGCTATTAAGATACCCAAATTCATTTTTTGTTCTTTCAAAATATTTGGTATATTTTTAACTGTTTTATTGCTATTTTTCTTTTTAGTTTAACTATTTGTTTTCTTTAAAGTGATAATTCTTCTTTTTTTTTTTTTTTTTACATCTTAAAAAAAAAAAAACCAAAAAAAAAACAGCCTTTTCTCTCTTATTCATATCGATTTTTTTTTAAACATTGAAAAATAATTCATGTTTTAAAAAAAAAAAATGAATAAAAGAAAAACTGAAAATATAAAATTCTGATACAATTTATACACATTTTTATTTCTTCTATGAACTAATTTAAAAAAAAAAAAATAATGGTTAAAATTTGTACTTCCTTTTTTATCCCTGCATTTGTATATAATTGCTATCTACATATTTGTCATTCTTGAAATGATTTTTTTTATCAGACATTATTTCTTATTATTATAAATGTTATTTTTTAGACCGGTTATTAATTTGACTGTTTAATAAAAAAAAAAAAAACAAACAAACTTGGTTTGAAACTCAAACACGTGTAACCACTAAAAATAATGATTACAGTAATGAGAAATGCTTAATTCTTGTAAATATTTTCCATTATTTAATACTTTATTTGAATTGCAAAAACTTAGGAATATAAATCCCTTTATTTATTCTTATATTCTTTATTTTAATAATAATAATAAAAAAACAGAAATAGGAAAATAAATAAGTCATTCATTCTTTAATTTATTACTTTATTCTGAAATCATTCTATTGAAAAATAAAATGAAAACACTGAATAAACATTATTTTTGGTCATATTTCTTTTGCTTTTGAAACCATTCATTATTAATTAAAAAAGTCACTTTTGTTATTTGTCGAAGGAATTTAATGATGGAATAAAAACATAGCCGATCAAAAAAAAAAAAGAAAAAGGTATTACAAGAAGGTTAAGCCTTTTTGTATTGTGTCACTGTAGTAAAAATTAACCGCTTACAATGGTGGGGGAGGAGTAGCTGTTCTATCGGCAAAGATGAAGATAACATATTTTCACTTGATTGGAGCATTCACCATGGTAGGAGCTCTGACCTCACCTAATTCGGTCATCATTGAACAACCACTCCATTCTGCAACACCATTTGAATTGACCTTCAAGTCAGGCTGGGGAAAAAAACAAAAAGGTAATGACAAAATTCATAAAAAGTTTTTAGGTACAATTTGATCAGATTAATCTGGATAATTAAACCAGTTACTGCAAACTTAGATGTCTCCTATTCTTCTACGTGTCTTGTCCTGAAGGAACTCTGGCAATAATCCTATCCTTTTCTTTTGTAGCTCTTAGTAAAGTTTGTCTTATTGTTATACTATCTTCTACTGTTACAAGAGCCAGATCAGGTTCAAAATGGAGTACTGCTGCCATATATGGGCAGGAACTGCTCAGTTTTCTTTTTCCACTCTTGACAGAGTTCAAAAGTGTCTCCGTGTCCTTGTGGGTGATGACTTATATTCCACACTACAACCCCTTTCTCACAGATGAGATATTGCAAGTCTCTTGCAGTTCTATTGCTATTTCCATGGAAAGTGCTCAGATGAACTATAATTTTTAGTTCCACCAGTTTTTTTTACAGCTAAGACCCACCATTCCATTCAAATTGTAGCAAACCACCATGATTTGTTTTGTATTCCTCTGGCGAGATGTAAGTTACACTTGAGCGGTGACTCCCAATAGGATGCTTCCCTAATCACTGCAGTCCTAACCTGTTTAAATCTATGGTTATCCATTATTTTCCCTACAAATCTGCATAAACTGTGTCTCTTACTCTGTAACCCTTTAACTTGAGTGGCTCTCGGGCCTTGTACAGAGTGAACATCATTGTAAAAAAAAAAACTCTCCTAATTCCTGTTCTGCCAACCATTTACACAAACTTCATAGGTAGGTTATATGCTGCTTTCCTCTGTCTCTCTTGACATCAGTATGTTTTGTGAGTGCCAAATTCTCCAATCCTCATTATATGCCCTAGAAATTTCAACTGTTTCTTTCTGATGCTAAATATAAGTGTCTTCCTTGTTCCCATTTTCCTTAAAACTTCCTCATTGCTCACATGTTCAATGCATGTAAGGAGACTGTCCAACATTCACTGCTATATAGGAGGGCAATCTTTGCTTTTAACAAAATTTTCCCATTACTTAATACTTTGCTTAGCTTTTGGAAGGCAACTTTGCTATTCCAATGTTTTTAAATTTTGGAGTTGCATTTTCTGTTCTGTGTTAAAATACTTCCTAGGCGAGTTTAATTTTTCTACATGTTTTTCTTTAAGTATTTGATAATTAAACCAGATGGACATTACTAATTTTTGACTAGTTTATCATTTATCTTTATTGGTATATTTTAACATAACATTCAAATCATTACATTTAAAATCAAATGTAATTGTTATCTATCCTCCTTATCCTCATAATCTTCACTTCCTACAATCTCCTTTTTCAGTCATAGTACACACATCATTCTTCATAACCATTTTAAAAGTAATCCTCTACCTAGAGTTTCTCTCAACCTTTTATTAGGTGACATTTTATATTAAGAAAAACATTGATAGCCATTTACACAAGTGTAGGGATGCAAAAAGTGATTATCTCACTTTGGTTGAGATGAAGCCATGTGGATCGCATGGTTGGCCACTTAGTGACATCAATTCATAGAGTGACAAAAGAAGTCGGTTGTTTAGTTAACCACCTGGAATCAACACAAGCAGTTTGCTTTTTCAGTAGAGACAAAGGCTAAATCTTGGTTAAATGTTTGCTTAATTTTTAGTTCACAAGTTGCTTCAATGGTTGCTAACTCTTTAGTACTTCAGTTGCTGAAGTATTAATACTCAAATTGCTTCAATGGTTACTTAATTTTTTATGCTTGTGTCTATTGAATAGAAAGAAAGATACTTCAATATAACTCAATTCATTAATAAAGTATAAAATAATGTCTTTAGTAAATCTATTTACTTAATTTTACATTTTTCATTTCTTTTTTGCTTTTTTTAAGTTGTTTAAGCCACAATGACATCAGTTATGGAGTTGCTTAAGATTTGGTCAAATCCAAGTATGATTCCTTATTAAAGAATCATGTATCGTTTGCCAATTTAGATTTATCAAGAGAAATGTTTATAGGTGCCAAATGAAGGATGGTTTGCTTATTTTGTTTAATGACATATCAATCTAAATGGGTTATTTAGTGCTGACAAGATTTTTAAGATATGTTCATATGAAAAGAATGTGTATTCTTTGTAAGAAATCAGTTTATAGATCAGGTTTCATTGAAGTATTTTTGTAAAGAGGGTTTTTGTTAAGAGCCAAATGTATTGCCGGTAATATCTTTTTCTTAAATTGTATTGTTGGTGATATATTTGTTTTCGAAAATTTATTGCCAATAATAATTTTTTTAAAAAAATGTATTGCTGGTATTTTTACTATAAAAATATATTTTTATACTTCATAATGTTTTGTTTTTGCTTGGAGGATTCACTATTTGCGCATAGATGGATCCCTAACAGGTGCTACCACACCGGGTCAAGATGGGTCTAGGAACAACAGCAATTAGAAGGTAGAAGGAACCAGAAAGCCAATTCTACACAGGAAACACAGAAAAACTGGATGTACTCAATATTCATTACATTAGGGGAAAAAAAAAGGAACCATTAATAATGGTAGTAGATTAAAGTCTAAGTCATTACTTTTAAGAGAAAACAGTCATCTTTACTTGCAAAGTCTTTCATTTCAAGTGGCCATAAAGATAGCAAACGTTCTGCACGTTACCTCCACTTTTCCAAAGCAGATACTGCTTAATGCTTAATTATGTATATTTGACTGTAAGTCATCCTCAGGAGCCATAATTTATTTAAATGAAGGCTGCATGCAGCCTGAAGGTTGGGGCACACTAGTACAAATTTCTAGAGGAATCAATTGCAAAATTATTTTAAAAATTGCTATAATTTCTTCTTTTTTTTTTTTTTTTAATTGATTTAATTTTATGGCTTATCAACCTTTTGCAAGTTATTTAAAGCCAGAAGATATTTTTAATTGTAAGAATATTTTGAAGAGAATAACAATTTACTGATACAAGTCCTACTAATTAACCTATAGCCAGGGAGAGAAGAGGTGGATTCATATCTTTCCTCAAGGTATTTGTGCGTAAGTAAATATAACGAACCTGATGAGAATTGGAACTCGGCTATCTGAATTCCAATTCTGAGACGTTACACCACCTGTATATCCAAATTACAGCACCTGGTATTCCCAAGTGGTCACCCATCTAGGTGCTGAGCAGAGTTGATTTTGTTTAACTTCAGTGATCATACAAGAACTGGTGTTTCAATGTGATATGGCCATAAATCATAATTTCTTTTAATGCTATAATAATAATAATAATAATAATAATAATTATGTGTTTAATAATTGTTATGGGGTCCACCCTTTTCGGATATAATGGACTCGTCCTGCTGCCATAAAATAGCCACAGTCAGGCAGAGAAGATGAGTCATACAGGAGTTGTACCAGAGTCGTACAGGAGTCATAGGGTGTCGGATAGAGTGAAGTAACCTCTTGTAGAAGTCAGTTACAAGCATGTAGACTCTAAGGAAGTCCTACTTCGAGACTGTATATATCTATCTGTATTTGCTACTAACCGTGTTCCTGGATTTTATTAACAGCATTACCTTTTGTATTTTGTGTAAATACATTTAATTTCTTAGCTTAAATACTTGCGTTTGTCATTTATTGGATACCTATTTTCACGCGGGATCCACAACAATAATACCCAGTGTTTACTTTTTTTCCCCACTGTATGTTTTTTGTTTTTCAGTCCATAACTTTAGGTCATGTTAAAGGAAACAGATATATAAAATTAACAAATGAATCCTGCCGTAATTCAAACCTCTAGGCAAGTGACATATCCATTATGTCAGTGTTCTGCTGCTTGAACAGTCTAATAAAATTAACTTGCGAATGCTAAGTGAGACAGAATTCACAACCTCAAGCATCCTAATGGAGGTAGGGGATGCAAGTGTATCCCCAAGCAACCATTGTAGTCCCCACCCTCTCCTGGTGGGTCTTTTAATCCTCACATCCTACTGATCTTTTCTTGGTGCCTGAGCTCCCAGTTTAGTTATAACGATTCTGACACGAGAAGTTCTGTTGCCTTGAGTTCTATGTAAATGACATGTGCTCACTGCAAGTAGTAACCATGCCTTTTCTTCTTTCCTGTATTGTCTCTTCATTAAGGGTGCTGCTGGTAAATGTTTTCTGGGTTGGCATTATCCACCTGGGAGTCAGGGATCCAAACCTTAGAGTAACTACTAGGAAGGATATCCCATCAGCAAGCGTATAATATCAAGGTTAGTGTATTACCATTTTGTGAATTGGATATGGACCGTGCAGTAGATTTCTCTTGATGCTATGATGAAATGTACAGTTATGTCCATACTTCCAGATACTTTAATCCAGGTAGTTGGTGCATGTAATACTTGTGGGTATTTCCATTTCACTACCTCGTTTTCATCTGTTCCATCCAATATCTCAATATATCTAACCATTTCCATAACAATATCAAGTCTAGGGTCAATTGTTATCTTCCCTACATATCCCCATCTCTTATTGAAGTGAGGTCAAATAGTAGGACTTGTATCTGGAAAAATTGTTATCTCGAAAAAAAAAAAATTTTACAATCTAAAATATGTTTTGGCTTTAAATAAGCCACAAGGGCTGATAAACCATAAAAACAAATCAATTGATTTGAATGACTTTTAAGTCATTGGGCTTTGTACTGAATATTGTTGAATGAAATTCAAATAGAGTAATATTAGTAAAAAATTTTAAAAAGAAAAAGAATAAAGGAAGATAAGTCACCTGTAATTTTTCCCATATTTTTTTCTTAGGTTTAAGTTCCTCATCAGGTTTACCTTGGTAACCATCAATAAACACCGACTGCCCGATAGAGGAACCTTCTGGTGGAAATAAAGGTTCCACCATGCGGGGCTCTTCTCTGAAAAATAAAATTGTAATATTTACATAACATTTCCATTGTACACACACACACACCTACATGTATGAAAAAATTTAGTTTTAAGTTATCCTCTATTTATGAGTTAAAGTGCTCAATATCAGAGATAGAGTTTATGTAAATATAAAAGAAGACATTGAGGTAACAGTCTGTTTCATGCTTAAACACAATTGTCAGGCCATATATATATATATATATATATATATCTTTAAAAAATACACTTGATCACCTTATGTTAAATACTCATATAAGGGCTAAAATATTTTTTTAAATCATTAAAATTGAATTTCAAGTCTACTAAATAAAAACCATGAATAATCCAAAATAACAAAAAGGAAACAAAAGTGAATCAAGATGCAATCTAAATGTTGACCTTCAGCACCACCTTAAACAAAAGGTTAGGAAAGAAACTCCCATCAGTACTAGAAAAAGTGATAACAGTGAAGTTCAGAAGCCTATTTTCCTGAAAAACTGTCTTAAGAGAATGATTTTACAAGTTTCAAACAATAGTAATAGTAACTATTCAGTCCATGAGTGCCAAATGTTTCCTGAATGGAAACAGTTGATCACATGATTACCATAGTATTACATACAGTGGGGGAAAGAAATATTCATACACTATGATTTTTTTTTTTTTATTTAACATAGATTTTGTAAAAGAATTTTATAATCCATACAATATTTGTATACCGTGGCACAATGCTGCAATATGCAAAAATAATTCAGATAAATTGGTTATATTAATGAAATTAAAAAATTTGGAGGTGAAAAAGTATTTGTACAAAATTATAATAACTATTTAATACTTTGTAGCATATCCCTTACTCAATTCAACAGTAATCATCTTCTTTCACTGTAGCTTTTAATCAATGATTTGCAAGTTTCTCTTAGTATTTTACTTCATTCTTAATTGCATATTCTCTTTAGGCCCAGGATATTTTTTGGATCTCTTTTATTAACTTGAATTTTTAATAAATTTTCTATTGGATTCAAGTCTGGAGACTGTGATGGCCATTCAAGTGTATTGACATTGTTTTCAATAAGTCGTTTTTTCATAGATTTAGCTGTATGTTTAGGGTCATTATCTTGTTGCAAAACCCATTCATTTGGGAGTCCAAGCTTTACTATTGACCCAAACAAATTAGAGTCCAAAACATCTAAAGTATATTTTTTAATTCATTCTCCCATCTATTATCTCTAAATTATCAGTACCATTAACAGAAAAACATCCCCAAACCATGATATTGCCACCAAGAAATTTCACCATTGGGATTGTGTTCTTCAGTGCAAATGCTATGCCATCTTTTCTCCAAACATAAATCCTTGAATTACGCCCAAATAGTTCAATTTTTGCTTCATCTGTCTACAAAACATTTTTCAAAAATGACTCAAATTTATTCTTATGCTCACAAACATATTTTATCCCTATGTTTCTTCAATAGTAGCAGAGATTTTCTTGGAGAACGCAATCTTAGTTTACCTTTATGAAGCTCATTGCTTATTGTTCACTTTGTTCACCTGATGCTTTTAATTCTTTATTTCTCTCCAAGTTGTCATTGGATTTTCTTGAATTTTGCACTGAATTTTTCTCATTGATCTGGGAGAAATATTGCATGGTGCACCAGATCTTGATTTGTTCTCAACAGTCTTCACCTTTTTATACTTAGCAATAATGGAACTAATAGTAGTAAATGGTATATTCAGGATATCTGCTATTTTCCTATAGCTTTTGCCTTCCTTTTAATTGTTTGACGATCAATTCTTTTTGCAATTTTGATAGTTCCTTTCCTTTCCCCATGATGATAATTATTGTATATGATTTGTGTGCAAAGATAACCTTATATAAGAAATGAATTGCAGAATGTTCTAGATTGTTCCAATAATAAGATAATTGGAAGAATCTAGCAAAATCTTACAGAGAATTATGTAAATAAAGGTAATTTAAGCCTTTTGATATTAAAGACACATTTTGTATGGATACTTTTTTCCCCTTGAAATTTTATAGACAACACATAATTGTTTTTTGCGTATTGCAGCATTATGCAATGGTGTAGAAATATTGTATGGATTTTAAGTTTTTTCATAAGTTATAACTATGTTAATTAAAAAATTTCATGGTTTACAAATATATTTCCCTCCACTGTATATGTATACCAAATCAACTTATTTCATAATGGGGAGAGATATTTCATGAAATTTCTTGTGGCATCATTGATTTTGCTTAACTTTAATGATTATATGGGAAAAGGTGTTTCAATGTGTAAGTCACCTTTTAATTAAGTATCTCACATAGTGATAATATCACAAAAGAAGCTAAATGAAACATATTTAAAAAGAAATTCTGTTCATACCATGTAATTTTTAAAAAATTCAATAAGTAAATTTTTTTTTTCAAATAGAGTGCTTAATCTATAATATATGAAAAAAGCACTCCAGATTATGAATTTGAAAAAAAAAAAATTTAATTTTAAATCATGTACTATAAGCATACCATTTTTTTTTTAAATATTTTTTGTGTATATAGTCTAGCCAATTTCATTTAGAATTTTTTTTTGATTTAAATTTAAAATTTCAGCCTCCCCTCTCATTCATGTACACGTGTAATCCCATAAATGTAAATTTCACTTTAGTCCAATGAAGTTCAAAAGGAAGAAATGAGTCATATGAAAAATTCTTCTACCTTGTATATTTTCCAAAAAATGTATGTGTGTTTATGTGACTATATGATGCCAATTTTTAAAACTCGCTCACAACAATGTATAACATCATTCTCTCTGAATTCTCTTTCATCCAAATATATATGGTTCCTTTTTCTGTCTTCTGTAAGCTCTAATATCAAATGCAAATTACATACTCTGACATCATGAAAAGATATTTCTAAGCATTATGCTTGTTGTAACCTCGGAAAAGGTTACTAAATAATAACCAAAACAAAGGTTGTAAATGGAATGATAATATTTATAACAGGAACAACATACAAGATTCACCAGCAGCGTGTAGTAAGTAATCAACTGTTGGTGGTGAGCTAGAAGTGAATCCCAAGTGGAAGACAACATACAGTATATACCATTGTATTTATAGGAATTGGGATATACCCATTATAGTCTATAGGTACAGTATAACAATGTTGTAATATACAGTATACGTGTTTGTAGGATGTATAATAGTATCTAAAACGAAAGTGAAGATAATGAGACAAAATGGAAAATTTATAAACAATGTAATAAATGTTTTTGTTTACAAGTTAAATGTAGATTTTACTTACACAGAAGCACACATAATCATAGCTTCAGATTTGACACCTCGCATTTTCTGGGCTTTCAGGTTACAAAGAAAAACACACATCTGACCATCAAGATTTTCTATTGGAACAAGGCCAGCCAAACCACTAACCACTGTGCGAGGTGAAGCTTCTCCGAGGTCAACTTTTTCAATATACAGGCTATCAGCATCAGGGTGCTGAAAAATATTCAAAATACTTACTTATATTTTTTCCTGTATTCAATTAAACTTGGGCGAATTAAGACATGGTATTCATTTGAAAATAATTCACCAAAAATTATGGTTTTATAATATAGTAGATAATTCTGTAATCTGTTGGTCACCATTCAAGAGAATATAATGGGAAAAGATTCTCATTGTTTGCTCCCTCACACATTATAGTACCTTCTGAGTACTATACACAAAAGGGGAGCTATTTGTTTTAGCATGTAAATTGTTACTCATGTGCAAATAAGTAAGTAAATAAGCAATAGTACTCAATAGTTATCTCCTTTGAAAAATTGCTTCCCTCCAAACACAGTTTAGCATGGATGCGGACCCCACAATATTATCATTCAGTTAGATAATCACCCATTTATTTTTTTTTTATTCTTTTTAACACATTTTTTATTTTATTTTTGCTAACATGTTAAAGTATCTTAGTTCAATACGATTGGCTACAATGCACTATTTTGGTTATTCAGAGGTTACATACCAACTTAGAACAAAATAACAATAGTTTTAAAGGAGACAATCCTTCATTGAATCTTACAGACTGGCATTATGTAATCACAAACAAAATTCACTTAAAGGCTTCCAGCAACAACTAAAATGTATAGCATATGTAATCAAGATACAATCTAGATGTTGACTTTCAGAACCATCTTAAACAAAAGGTTAGGAAGGAAACTCCATCATTACTAGAAAGAGTGATAACAGTGACTTTCCTGAAAAACTGTCTTAAGAGAAAGATTTTATAAATTTCAAACAATAGTAACACTAGCTGTTCAGTCAATGAATGCCAAATGTTTCCTGAATTGAAACAATTGATCGCACCATTAGCATAGTATCACATATATGTATATCAAATCAAATCCCATAAATTTGGTGATGGGTACTTCATGGAATTTCTTGTGGCACCAGATTTCATCTGGCAGTGCCCATTTCCTTTTCAAGTATTATAGTTAACTCTGACCTGGTTTATTGCGAGATGTGCATTCTTGCCTTTCCCAAACAATGTGAACAGAAACTACCTCAGCAAGAATTTGAATTTGTTTAAAAAAATCCAATTTCTGTGCTCTTCACCATTAAGCCAACATTACATCAAATACACTATATTTACCGTTTTGAAATTATTTATCAAAAATCTTTATTTGAAAAGAATTTATTTTTAACTTTCTCTTTATGCTATACCATTACGTCTTGGTAAAAATAGCAGTTTTCTATTGTCTTCATCAGGTTTTTGAATTTGGAGTTGTCATCATTGTAGATTGACTGCTGCAAAGGTTCAAGAGCCCAGTCTGCCCTGATATTTAACATATAGATAGGAGAAAACATGATTTCATGCCTTGTCAAAAGGACATTACTGCAAAAATGAATGTAACAGACTTTGTTTAAAATTTGAACTTGGCTTGTCAATTCTTCTTTCTGTGCTAATAAAGAGTTCTAAAGCATTTATGTGACCTTGTGGGTAATGAATTATTTTCCACACTACAACTCCTTTCCCACAGACAAAACACCATTAGCCTCTTGCTACTCTATTGCTATTTCCATTACATTTCTTAGTTCCCCCATGCCACATACTTAGGGTCAAATTATCCTCATCCTTAGTTGTATTCCATTAGTAAGAAAGAAGATCCATTCGGACAGCTTCTTCCCAAGAATTGCTACTTTGTGGAACAGACTCCCAAGAGGATGCTTCCCCCGATCACTACAATTTTAACCTCTTCAAGTCTTGGGTGAACTGACATCTAGTTTTAACATCCTCATTCAGCAACCCTCTAACTTAAGTGGCTCTTGGACATTGTATTTGGTGAATAACAGTAAAAACAAAAAGCAAGCAAGCAAGAAAATAAGAAAATTATATTTCTAGAAAACCCCCAAATTACCTTTTCAACAGATAAAATTTTGCCCACACGTAAATCGAGACGAGCTGGCGTAATTTCTTCTCCAGGAGCTGCCTCTAGAAAATAACAAACAGAAATTAGAGATATTTAAATACAATTTCAAACTTGTACCCAGTATTGTCTTACTTTAACTGAGCTTATGACCATATCATGTTGAAACACAGGTTCATGTGATAATAATAATAATAAAAGTGATTAAAATCTTAAAAAAAAAAAAAAAAAAACAAAACAAAACAAATGGCTTCTCATAAATATGGCCATGTCATCAGATAAAAATGTATGACAAAATGAATACATATAAAGTTTTTCGAATTGAACAAATATGGCACCTTAAAGCTACTGATATGCCTATAATAATTGGAGCACTGGGCATGATCAAGAAAAAGTATACCCAAGAGCATTAACAAGATTCCTGGTAGCCTCTGTTTAAAAGAGATTCTAATAAAATTGCACTGTGTGGAATTGCTCATCTATTCATTAGAATATTATCAATTGTAAAGAAAATATAAATACTGTACATGTTAAGTATCACTTACTGACAAGGGATATTTTTCTAACTTTTTATTGGAAGTAGTGTGGGATGTCAGCATCTTGATTATGTCATTATTTTCATTTTTAGTTACATGTAATATCTATTTTAATTGTTGCTGCTGGTGTGATTTCTGTAGCATCAGTTCACAATGAGAAAATGGTTGTATACAACTGACAGTTTAGGTATTTCTGAACAGGTTTGGTGCCATATATGATATCCATATGAAAGTTTTGATCTGACAAGGCTATTTAAGAATTAGCAATATAAAAAACACATGAAATTCTTTTATTGTAAAAATAGCGAAAATAATTCGCTTAAAATAAATCTTATTAATATCTAAATTCAGATTACTTATAATATTGACTGTCACCCTAAAGTATTGTAAAGTAAATTTCTTTATTTTTTTAAAGCATTTATGAACTTACTCTTAATTGGAGGATAGGCAGCTGCAGTAAGCTTTTTATTCTCAGCTGTTTCAAATTCTTGCCGAATCGGACTTAACAATTGATTGAGGTAAATTTCCATAGCAGCTTTTAAATCTCCAGGATGTAGTTCCTAGTAACCAAGTTAAAATTGTAAAAATTACAAAATTATTTGACATATAATTTACATTTTGATATACATATTACAGAACAAAAAATAAAACAGGCTGTCACAGCTTAACAGATAAACATACAAACATTTAAAGAAATACAATAACTCAAGACTTTTTTTTTATCCCAAGCAAGATGATAAAGCCACTAAGATGTGAGGTCTTACTGAGTGTGAAAGAATAAGAGAGAAAAAAAAAAGATATAATTAAGGAGAGAAAACAACAAAAGAACAGGAACTAAAACAAAAGATGATGATTGACATTGCATAAATTTTTGATGATCAAAGAGCAAGAGGCCAGAAGAGAGTTTCACAAGCAAGGATTGCAAGAGAAGAAACTACTTGCATAAAACATACAGTTACATCTAGCAATTTCAATTGTAAAACAATGAAACATAGCTGCCAATCTAGTACAGGGCTTAAATCCATAAAGTTGGAGTACAAAAGAAGAAAGCTCATCAGAACAATTATCATAAAAATATTTATAGAAAAGGCACAGAGAAGCTATGCTATGGCTGTGGAAAAGTGATTGAAGTGAAGATGCCAGCTCAGGACTGACAACACTGCAGATTCTCCTTTAGATTTTATCAAGAATCTATAAATATATAGCAGGAGCAACAGACCAGATGTAGCAACAATATTCAATGCATGGACAAATGGTAGACTTATAAATTTATAAGATAGATTCTGGTGAGAAAAATTATCTAGCACAACACAGTGAACCAACTTTCCTAGCAGCAGACCTTGCAATTATTCCAATATAATCTTTCTTCTTCATTTCAGTGGAAAATGTTAACCTGAAAATTGCAATGATGGAAGGCAAAAAAGGTTCTCTAAGACTATTAAAGGAGAGCAATTTCATTTTGGAGGTGTTAAAGCTAACAAGCCATTTCTTGACCCAGTTAACAACAAATTGTAGGTAGTTTTTAATTTTTTTTCTGCCAATTTGATTGTATTTGCTTACTAGTAAAACAGGAATAAATAGTGGTGTCATCAGAATAGATATCAAGTTGAGAACTGAGGACATTGGGAAGGTTGATGATGAAAATTAGTAATAACATAGATCTAAGCATAGAGCCCTGGAGGATACCCACATAAATGCAAAAAGATCTAGAAGAGTGGCCATTCAAGACAACTTAAAAACTACTCCTCTCTTAATAATAATCTAAGTATTTCTAGCATGAGAGAACAAAAATTGATGTTTTTGTGATGCTTTTTTTATACCTAAAATGTGTTTAGCAAGATTCAGCATTCACTATATATAGTTTATTGAAAAGGACCATAATAAGGCAATTAGGAATGAATGCAAACATTACTGAGAGAATAAAGCCATTATGCATATAATGTAAATCCAGTAATAATGACTGTATCATAAAAGTGCATTACAAATGATTTTATGATAAAATGCATAGAATATCAGAGAAGAAAGGGATTGTAAGTTGTCAGGAATTAATGCATGCATTACTATTGACAGATTAGGGAGGGTATTTGCATAATGTTAATGCCTGAAAATTATTTTATGGCCGAAATGCAAGGAAGATGCCTTTATGGCAGAAATGCATCACAATTTATGACAAAAAAATGCATCACAATTTTATGACAAAAAAATGCATCACAATTTTATGACAAAAAAATCATTCTATCATAGAAATGCATATTAATTTTATTTTCTTTGTATGTGCCAAATTTGAACTCTTTTTTTTAATTAGTTTGAAACAGAAATATTTGTGCAAGAAGGAAAAAAAATATAAAAAAAACAAAATCAAAAGAGGTTACAGTGACTTACTTCTTTAAGAAAAGCTTCTTCCATTTCTGTATAAGTTTGGTAGATCACATCACCACCATTTTCTTCACTCCTTTTTACATGAAAACCTTTTTCATAAAAGAAAAAATAAAGTAGTTACAATCTTTGACTGAAATGAATATTTTTAAATACTTAGTTAAATGAAATAAACACATAATGTATACAATGTGGAGAAGTGGTTTGTGAAGACCATTAATATTAGTAGGTTTGTCTCTCATGATGAATTATCAAGCACTTGTGACTACATGCAGTACTAACCTAAGCAATAAAGACATCTACTATAGCATGATTAGTATCAAGTTTACCTTGCAGACCAATAATAAAATGAATTCAGTTTTCACTTATGTTGTTTTGTGTCACACTAAAATATATTAACAATCTGCATTATTCCAAAATAATTCCCTTCCACTGCTTTTTTTTTTTTTTTTTTTCAAGTCTACTAAACTGCAGTAGCCCTATCATCAATTTCTGTCAGGGTGGTATTTCATTGCCATAGCAGGTTATGACAGCACCACTGAGAAATTCAAATGTCATTTGGTGATTAGAGTCATTTGTAGTGCCAGGATAAATATCTTACTCTGCTTCACAGATAATAAAGAAAAAAGGAATCTGTAGAAAACCATAATCACCAAGGTTTGGTTTGTTTTATGGCATATCAACCACAAAGGGTTATTTAATACCAAATTAATATATATATATATATATATATATATATATATATGAAGAAATATAGTCTTAAGATGTGCTATATTTATGGGATAAAGTGCTCAATATCAGAGATAGAGTGTGTGTAAATATAAAAGTGAACATAGAAGTCAACACTTAGAGGCAACAGTCTGTTTCATGCTAGATGCAATCATCAGGCCACAAGTGCTGTTATTTTTCTCGGCTATTTATATATACGGGTCAGTGCTTCAATGCGGGTAGTCTATTTTGGCGGTTATTTTACCGGAAGTCGTTTATTTGTTTATCTATTTGGGTTAAATTATTGTGCTTGTTTTTATTTATATTTATTTTTATTTCTTATCTTATTTATTTGTTTATTTTTTATTTTTATTTTAATCAGTGTTCTTATTAATGTAGTAAAAATTTGTTTATATCGCTTATTTAATAGTTTTGTTTTGGTTTGAGAAGATGCTCCTCAAAACCTCCTGCTGCTGGATGTAGTTTGTCTTACCCAGAACACGGATGTAGTTTATTGTCGTACCCAGGACTCAATGTGGCTAGGGATACAAAATAATATTATATTTCTCTTTTTGTTCATTGTATTGATTTTCTGTAATATCTTAATAATCCTTGGATTGTTGGATTTGTTTTCCTCCAAAGCTGATAGGACTGAGAGCAAGTCTGAAAGGATTAGGAAGTTCTTTAGTTTGTTCTCAGTGATGATGTCTAGAGCTAACTCAATTGCATAAGCCTCTGCAGTGAAAATCGAACTTCTCTTTGGGAGGCATTTTTTTTTTGGTAATTTTCTGGTTTACTGCTGCAAATACTATTTTGTTTTCTCTTTTTGATCCATCTGTATAGATTGTTGTAGAGTCATGGAAGTTTTCCAGTATTTCCTGGAATTTGTCCAGAAATGTGAGGGTGTTTTTTTTTTCTTTGGAAAATCATGCGTTTCAAGAATGACTTGAGGCTGTTTAATTGTCCATGGTGAAATATTTCTTGTAAATTTGATAATGAAGTACTTAATTCTTCAGCAATGGATTTCGTCCTAAGTACATATGGCTGTATGGCATTTTGCATGATGGAATTGATCGCAGTAGATTGGGTCAAATGTAGCTCTATAAGCTGGATTAGTTGGGCATGATTTAATTTTTACATAATACTGCTATACCAGTGTAATACACCATAAATGGGGAGAGGTTTCACTGGCTTCAGTATATAAGCTCTCCACCGGGAATGTTCTAAAAGCCCAAAGCACTAATTTGAGCCCTTGAGTTGCATTGAGGATTTTTATGTACAACTTTCTGGCTGCCCCATATATAAAACTAGCATAATCCAGTTTGGAATGGAGTAGCAATCTATACAGTTTGATCAAAATATACCGATCTGCTTCTCATTCAGTGTAAACCACTACATGCAGAAGGACTTTGCTACATTTCATTTTCAAATACTTCAGATGAAGGATGAAAGTCAGTTTCCTGTCAAAGATTACCCCTAGAAACTTGTGCTATTCAACTACTGGAATTTCTGCTTCATCTAATTTCAAACATGTATCATTATGTAATTTTCTTAATTTGTAGAAATGTATACATTTAGTTTTCATTTTAGAAAATATAAACCCATTTTCTATGGCCCATTTCTGTATTTTATTTAAGCTTTACTGAAGTTGCCTTTCTATTGTGTTCATGTCAAGATTTGTACTCGATTAAGAAATTATCAACATAGAGGGAGCATCTAACTCCTGGGCTTAGGGATTTAATTCTGGAATTGATTTTAAGGCAAAAGAAATATTCCTTTTATATTTGACTTCTATAATCTCTTTCTTTTTTTCCAGAACTCACAAGTTCAAGAGTAAGCCGGATGATTTTCCTGGCAATTTGCACATTTAATTTCATACTGGCACTCATTTTCACCATGATTGGAATCTTTTTGGACACATTTTGTGCATGTATGGTGACTCCTACAGCTATCTCTGTGATGTCCAAATTTTTGGCATCTAAAACATCTCAGAGGAGCCAGGATATATAGCTCAACTGGCTCAACATTGTAACCTATTTTGATTTTTGATGGAATTTTGATGTGTTGTACATAAGGATGTATGTATCTGTAAATATTTTTTCACCATTCCTTCTAATAGAGATCCTTCAGTAATCACAGACTCCTTGGCTACCCAAGGCAGATGAAATTTCTTCTGGGGTGGCCAGAGAGAGCTCTTTACTTCTAATCACTCCCTTTGATGTATTCAATCTTGTGTGAGGGAAAGTTTTAATATTTACATTGTGAAAAGTCTTCATTTCCATTATAGATTCCTCATGTTTTCTTGTTTCAACCTCCACTATCCAAATGCTCTCTCTCATCTTTCTAACCGATTTCAGATTAATCCAACTGGACAATACTTTCTCAATCAAGAATGGGGACAGTTTCAACAAAGGAGTTTCATCCAAAGAATCAAACACAAAAAAAAAATCTCAGAAAGTCCATATTAGAGTCCGTCTATATTTCTGAGATGAGGTATTATGTACAGTACACATGGCACAGTGGATAAAGGCGTTGGTTAGATCCAGTGACAGACACAAAGAGTGTGAGTTCAATACCCGGTTAAGGCAGTGAACTTTCAGAGGGAAAATTAGCAGGAGATAACTGATAACTGACATCCATCAAACATGGCACGTGGAACTAGAACAGTCTACCCCAGTGATCGAAATAAAGGGTTCAGTTCGAAATTCCAACCACCTGAAGAAGGCTGGAGTGTACAATGGCCGAAACGTTGTGACAAATAAGGTGACAAAGATGAGGACAATAGTCCAACTAATGTAAATAAAGTCCATATTAATTTCTTTTTCAGAATCTGAATACAAAAAAGGTATTGCTTGGGTTTTTATTTTGATTCATAATTTATATGAATTAAATTTCACTGCCTGTTCTCCCCATCTACCTAAGAGCCCAATGTTGGGATATATCGAGAGTGACACCCAATTGCCTTGACAGGTTAGGCTTACACAAACCAGTATACTTGCATTTGTGAGAGATTTGGAGCACCTGTCAGCACATTTGTTGCACTACTCAATTGATCGGATCAGGCATCTCTGACTGCCTGTCTAGTCCAGGTAAGGGCCAAAGTGTTGGGTTGGAAACTGGAAGTACCTAACCCTCATTGGATCCCAAACAACCTCTTGGTGATGAACCTGAGAGGGTTCATCTCAATCCATCTGTATAGCTTTCAGTAGTGTTTTGCTTTAAATAAGTAAACTGGTATCTGAAAAGAACACTATAAATACTTGATCCTTCATTAGTTCGGTGGGACATTGTCATAACATTAGTAGCCATGGAGTTTTCAAACAAACCATCTAAAATATTATAGCTAAATCATTTAGTTTTTAATTTTCTTATATATTGTCTTGGGTGTTTTTTTTCCAGTTTTTATAGGATAGATTCTGTCTAAAGTTTACCTAAACTCTGAAATTTTTTTTTTGTTATTTTTATTTTCCTCAGTAGTAGATACTTTTGCCTATGGCCTTGTCCACACACCTTGATCTTTTGAACAGGAGTAGAGGTTTATCCCTTGTTTCCTGTTTAGGATTGGGTTTCTAGTTCCTTGAAAGTCTTTCACTCCTACTAGCCCCTTGTGTCTTAGCAGCATTATCATTTTAGCCCATATTAAAAAACTGAATTTGTTAGTTTCAAAAATTCAAATATATAAGAATAAGTTTCATTTTATTTTCAGTATAATGTTAGAAAACAACTGGATAAATCTGGTTTAACTTTTTTTTACATTCCAAGCAATGAGCAAGAAAGTAAAGTATCTTTGCAAACATCTTGCCACACTTATTGCAGTCTTTACTTTACGGTCACATGATTGTAAATCACATAAACATTATGACTAAAACTAGAAGTGCCTTGTTTGACAGAAGTATCAAGAAAGCTACTTGACTAATCATGAAAATTTGACTTGCCACCTGCTAAATATAAAAGAAAGACATTTTGTGAGTTGTTTAAACACACTGCAGAATTAACAGACGGATTTGAAATATTGATTAAAAATATCTTAATGCCTAAAATAATTACTGACAACATTTTGAGAGCACCAGAAACTCACCGTTTTCCATTACTGGTAACTGGAAGAGAACATGTTGACAAAATGACAAAATTCCATTCTCTTTGATGTTGCCAGGTTCACAGAAAGCTTGTTTCATTTTCTTTTTCAACTGTGCTGCTGAATCAAGAAGATCAATTTTGGAATCATCTTCTGAAGAACTCATTTTTGTTCCAGTCAAACCAGGCACTAAAATATAATAGAAACATTTCATATACAAAAAACAGTAAAACAATGTCTGTTCAAAAAGCATTCAGTCATTTAATATTATCAAAAAAAAAAAAAAAAAAAAAAACCTCCCTGTGCCTTTTCTATAAATACTTTCATGGTAATTGTTCTGATGAACTTTCCTCTATGGTACCTAGACTTTATGAATTTAAGTACAGTACTAGATTGGTGGCAAAGTTTCATCGTTTTAACATTTTAAGAGAGAGTTCTATGCTAATAGTTTCTTCTCTCACACTTCTCACTTGTGGAACTTTCTTCTGGCTTCTTACTTTCCAGTCAATGTTGATCTTCAAAAATGTAAATGTATTGTCAATCATCATCTTCTGTCTTTTTGATTTCTATTTTTTTTTATTGTTCACTCTCCTTAATAATGTTTTCTTTTTCTCATATTATGCAATATTATTGGCATCACAACTTCAGTCAATTTCTGACCACCATAACGAAGCTTCCCTGTGACTTTTCTATAAATATTTTCATGGTAATTGTTCTGATGAGATTTCCTCTTTGGTATCTAAACTTTATGAATTTAAGTGTACTACTAGATTGGTGGCAAGGTCTAATCATCTTACAGTTGAAATGGATAGATGTAACTATAAGTTCAATGCTAACAGTTTCTTCTCTCACTTGTGGAACTCCCCTCTGGCTTCTTGCATTCCAGTCAGCTTTGATTTAATTTAAATGCAATGTCAATCATTATCTTTTGTCTTCTTAATTCCTGTTTTTTTATTGTTCAATCTCTTTAATAATTTACTATTTCCTCATATTCTCTCATACTCAATAACCATTGAGTCTTAGTGGCTTTTTTGCCTTGTTTAGGATGAAAAAAAAAAAAAGAAGCCTAAATCAGGCAATGGTGGCTTAGCCCATTCAAGATATTTCTCTTAAGACTTCACAGACTTATTCCAGCATCTCTTCAACTTTTGGAAACAGTCTGCAACATCCTCTTTTGAGATCACTATCATCTGTCTTGTCATTTTCAAGATCTGGAGTTATGCAGATGTGTTGTCTTTCCCATTTTTCAATTGGAAAATTTATTACCAATTGAAACACACTACTAATGTCAGAGAAAATTTTGTTTGGTATAGGACAAGGGTCGGCCGGATCCGGCCCATGAAGGCATTTTGACCAGCCCGCAAGCCCGATTACCAATGACTCTATTTTCAACATGAGAGACAAGGCTTTCAAATTAGACTATCTGCCAGTTATCTTTCATGAGACTTATTTTACCAAGTTGCGTTGCCTATGTTTAATGTCAAATAATGGATACATATTTGTTATCACCCTTGGCTACATTAAAAGATAACAGAAGCAAAAGGAACGATAAAGTGAAAGAGGCCAGGAAGGGACTGACATGCAAGGTAGCAGAAATCTAAAGACAGTTAAACATACGCACATTATACATACATGCCTCATGAATGTGTGCATGATACTGCATATGTACATACGTAAGTGTATATGTTTGCAACTATTTGTACTCGTATATATGGGTATATGTGCTTCGTTTTTGTTTGATGCGTGTGTGTGTGGTTCGTTTGTGGAACAATTTTCGATAACAGTTTCAAACCTACATGTCATAATTTCATCCATTTCACTTCGGTTGATTTTTTTCACTTTGAAGTATTTTGACGTTCCTTGAGGAAAAGTAATTTTTGTTAGGTGTTTTTTAATTTTAGATTTTCTTTTGTTTTTCTGATTTCTCAATGTTTATTTTCATTATGGTTTTAAATATTTAGGTTGACAGGGGTCTGCATATGTAATTTTTCTTCATTTTTCATTAATGGCCTTCGTCCGGCCCGTGACCCGTTATTATAACACGATCCGGCCTGCGGGGTCGAATGAGTTGCTGACCCCTGGTCTAGAACTTATTGATTTTATGGCCAAGGCTTATAATATTTGGAGTTTTAATTTCATATAGTATATGTGCATGATTATTTGTCATGTTAGTGGATATGTGGGCATGGATTGCACAGTGATCCACAAGGGATAGGGTAACATTTAGGATAGAGTAGTGGCTGTATATCTAATGAACAAATTTGGTACTTGTGCATCATAGGAAATATAATTCCGCATTGTGTATGAGAATACGTAGATAAAATACATATAGTGCAGTGGGGTTTTTACCAGAGCTGGCATTGTTGTGATAATAAGGATAGAGGATTTTTAATTTTTTTAGAAAATTGTTAATCTATATTTATCACAGTAAACAGGAGATGTATATTGGCATAAAAAGCCTTGTAATAACTGCTTCATCACATAGGTTGAAAGCATTGGATTGCAGCAGGATAATTGCATCATTGCATCAGTGTCTTTGTATTATTGTGAAGTTTCTTTTGACTTAGTTTTATTTCTTTGTCAATTATATAGTCAGGGGATCTGTTATCTACAAGTGTTTATTTGATTTTATTTAGTTTTTTGTAAAATAATGTATGAGAAAAGAAAATGTTTGGCCCTAGTAATCAAATTTCTAATAATAACTATTGTGACAAAAATTAATAGTTACAACAGGCTCTTTAACACACTAACAGTCACCAACACACCAACAGCTGCCAAATGTAATCATCTAACAAACTTAAATCATGCAATATCTACAAGTTTCCCACTCCAAGGGACCAAAGATAATTCAGCAACAAGTTTTTTTGTTTTTTTTTGGCTGTCAAATCAAAACAAAACCCTTGTTTCACACTGAATGCTTATTGGCAATTTCTGCCTACTGTTGCATGCCAATTGTGGTCATTTCTCCTCACTACAACTATTTTATACCTGCACGATCATTTCCTATTATAATTATAGAGGGTGGCAGCAGTCTGAACATGCATTTCTTTTATAGGAGGTGACAGTGGTATGAATGTGCATTTCTTTTATAAGAGGTGACAGTGGTCTGAATGTGCATTTCTTTTATAGGAGGTGACAGTGGTCTGAACGTGCATTTCTTTTATAGGAGGTGACAGTGGTCTGAACGTGCATTTCTTTTATAGGAGGTGACAGTGGTCTGAACGTGCATTTCTTTTATAGGAGGTGACAGTGGTCTGAATGTGCATTTCTTTTATAGGAGGTGACAGTGGTCTGAACGTGAATTTCTTTTATATAAGGAAAGGTATGGCTATTGGAATCAACTGAGAGATCTCAGAAAAGGAATCAATTTTCAATATTAAGTCTGTCAGTAAAATGAATGCATGTAGCATTTTATATATGTGGACAACAGATATGGTCAGTTAACCTAAGGATTAACAGCATCGAAAATGAAATGAACAAGTTCTAGCCAGGGTTGTTTGAACTAATGTTCTTGAGAAAAAAATAAATTCCTCTCTCTCAATGTCATAATGGTACCATCTAACCCAGCATAGCCTGTCACATGTTACTTAAATAGCACACTGATGATTTAATAGGCTATAGAAAATGAAACCATACAACTTTGTAAGGCAATCCAACTTGAGTGTTTGATAATAGATTAGGTCAGGAATTATTCAGTACAATTTTTCACACATTACTTAAAAAGGAAAATGGACACTGCCAAATAACTGCTACTTCTGAAATGTTGGTTGGTTGATTAGTTTTCTATAGCTTATCAACCTTTTCCAAATCCGAGAAATATCATAGCAGACACAGCATGTTGCTCAAATATCTACTAGGTCAGAGGTCAATTTCATGTGATTTTCAAAGATAACATGTTTTTAAATTAAACAGAAACTACTGTTAAACATGCCTTTAAAATAGTCATGGGCAAACTGCAAATCCTAGACTGCATGCGGCCTGATTGGCTCTCTGAGTGGCATGCCGAATTTCATTAAGTAAATAATGCTTATTTAAATTTTGCTGGTATTGTTCTCACCTGGTCACTCACCTGTCTCATACATAACCACATACATAAACAATGATTAAGTTCAATTTCTTGAATTTTGTAACCTTTCGTTGAAAGTAACCTTCAAACCATTGATGATTTTCAATAGGGAAGACCATACTGGTAAACATCTTTTGTTTTAGAAACAGGAAATGTTCATAATATATTTTCTTGGGAGAATAAATATATTTTTCTCTTAAAAATATTTTTTGTATAGTCAAATGAACAAATTAGAATCAAATTATATGTATCAGTGTGTTAATTTGTTACCAGTGATATCATTATACCAAAACTACAATGTTTTAATTATAGGAGAAAAAAAAAAGATTTTTCTCCATTTCTAAGGAAGATGCTTACACATATGATCTATTTCAACAAAAAATTACCTTGAATTCTTTTTAGCTTTACAGCTGCCTTATGATAAACTAGATCTCATGTGGCCCACTACTTGAAAAAAGTTGCCCATGCCCGCTTTAAAACATTTTGCTGCAATGAGAGTATTAAACTCATAAGTTTAAACTTGAGCACAAAGATAATTTAGAGTTGTTTTTGAAATTTCCTTTAACTACTGTTCAACTTATTCTTGTGTCAAAAGTAAAATCATTCATTAAATAGTTGATTGCAGATAAATACCTAATTCCCCACCCAAAAAAAAGAAAAGAGAAAAAAAAGGTCAATATATTTTGTCGTTTATAAATTTTATATTAGTACAAAAATATCCAATAGGAATATAGTCTATAGAAGTTCATAAATGAAAAGACTGATGTTTTAATGCAATAGTAGAATTTACAAAGCTGAGATTGGCTGATATTCATGGTTATAATAGATAAACAGCAAATATTCTGTGCAGATAAATCAATACATCTGCAGTCTAATGAAGAAAAGAACATTTATTTTACAAAAATATTAATTTTCAACATAATCTCCTTCGTGATCAATTTACTTAACCCAACACTTCTCTATTAATTATATATTGTCCTTATACAGTGAAAATTTAAAACCCCAAATCAGTTAATGTCAAGCTATCGACATATTGATCTATCCTTGTAAGAATAAAAAAAACATACTTACCCATTGGATTCATTAAATGAATTCTCTTGGTATATCCTAAGTGTGGCAGGTACTATGAAAAAAAAAAAATAATAATAATAATAATCAGCCAGTAACTAATTAAGCATGTAATGAATTGACAGTTTATTTTAAAATGAGAAGTTTAATTAATTTTTTTCTATCTTAATAGTGCTCTGCATAATGTTTTGAACTCTAGTCAACATATTGACTGCTCAGTGGTCAGTTATGAAATCTGACTTCAAATGCCAACTTTATAATAGCCAACTTAGGTAATAAAAGATTTTCAAATGCTTCTGTTATTTTCAATAAATTTTTCCCCTTAAAAAGTTTGTTTTTATTTGCTAGTACAATTTGTCATTACTGCCTTAGATATAAAGTACCAGTTATTTGTGTTAAAAACAAGAAAAAAAACAAAAAAAAAACACGCTTGTTGCCTTGATGGCAAAACCCCTGGATGTTCTAATATCTCAAACAGAGCATGAGTTCAAGACATCCATATACCGTAAACTGACATTCACCGAACAGTACCTCAATTTCAACTCCCACCATCCATATAGTGTAAAGAAATGGATCGTCTGCTGCTTACAACACCGAGCAAAAGTCATAAGTGGCAACTCAGAGACATTAGATAAAGAATTGGTCAGTATAAGTAGTACCCTACAATGTAACAACTACTCTGGATACATGGCAGCAGCCCCAATAAACTGGGATAGGTGGGTACAAGATGAGGAAAACAACTCAGAAAACAGTCAGTCTGCTGTATGTGAAGGGGTTATCAGACAAAATACAAAGGATCTACGGTCTATATAACATCAGGACAACCTTCAAAAGCTGGATGACACTTCACAGATATCTCTCCCTCATAAGACCCTCTCCCCCATAGAGGAGAACATGACTAAAGACTGTGTGTACACCATCCCGTGAAGCTGCAGAAAGAAATGTAAAGGGAAGACAGGCTGTCCCCTTAAGATAAGGCTTCAAGAACACCCGAAAGCTGTAACACGAGGGGGAGTGGAAAAATCAGGCATGGCTGACCACATATGGAGAGAAAAGGGAGATCATCGCCCTCTGTGAGATCAAGTTGAAATCATAGACAAAGAACACCATTGGAAAATTTGTAAGCTTAAGGAATCAGCACATATGCTAGGCCACAAAAATCTCCTGAGCTGACCAAGCATAGAAATGAATACAATATGGGAACCAGTAATAAAGAGTGCCAGAGAAAAGCAATAATAACAAAAAAAAATTGCAATATGAGCTCTGGTAAAAAAATGCAATGATAACAGCAAAAATTTGCAATATGAGCACTGTTACATTAAGTTTATAATACCCAGAAATTCAAGGACACATGACATAGTGGATAAAGGCATTAGTTAGATCCAGTGACAGGATCCAAAGAGTGTGAGTTCAATACCTGGTTAAGGCAGTGGAGAACTTAGAGAGGGGAATTAACAGGAGATAACTGATAACTGACATCCATTAGACATGGCATGTGGAACTAGGACAGTCTACCCCAGCGAGTGAAATAAAGAGTTAAGTTCGACATTCCAACTACCTGAAGAAGGCTGAAGCGTATAACGGCCAAGATGTTGTGATAAATATGGCAACAAAGATGAGGACAATAGTCTGAATAATGTAAGTAGTGGAGAGCGTGTTAGAGAGTAGGATTATGAATTTTGTGTTATTTTTGTTAAAAGTGCTATTGGTAGTATCTAATTTTTTGACTTTGTGAATTTTGTAAGCTCATTTTCTAGCATTGAGGATGAAATGATGTTTTAGAGAAGAAGCCTAAATGTTTTCTTAATATATTTCTCTTCTTCCCTTAAGTATTCTGGGCTACATATCCTAAGGGCTCTGAGGTAGAATCCTATGACTACCCCTGATTTTATTCTTTGTGATAGGAATAGAAATTTGATCATTTTTGTTAGTGGGCTTGTGAAAAACTTTAAAGTCTAATTTCTTATTGTTACATATTAATAATTCTAGAAATATATAAACAGACACAAGTTTTTACAGAACATGCTATCCAAAACTTGGGAAAATTTACAGTGTTTGTAAACCAAATATAGTACGAAGTTTTTGCCATTACTCTTTGCAAGGTTACTGCAGATATACTTGTTGTATCTTGTTGGATCTCTAATTCTTTAACTTAAACAGAAATGCTCACTTGAACATCCATGGCTCATATGACAAAACAGACCTACATTATTGTCTAGCTCCGTGCACCCATTTCCAGAATACTGCCCCAAAATACAAGGGTCATAAGACATCTTTTTTGACCCATCAGAAAAGGCCCACATGGTTTTCACAGTAGCCATTTATAAACTGCTAACTAACACCAATTACACCCATAAAGGCAAATCCAAACTGGCTGGTATTAGTGATGGACCAGATAGCAGGCAAGCTTAACTGAACATGGCAGACTACATGACTGTTCAGGCCACCAGTAGCAACACCAAGGTGTTTCTCTTGAGTCTATCTCACTTGGCTACATATGTATGTTTTCCCCATGTGTCGATCTTGAGTACTACCATGTGTTGTATGTTGCACAAACTTTCAGCCTCCTGCAACTGATGCGTAATAACCTTGAACAAGCAAACGATCAAACCTTGTAAATCATGGGGAAATAAAAACTCTTTGATTTATTTAATTAGGTCTTATTTCAATTTGTAATTTTGACCTTTTGCATTGTTAATGGCAAGGGCACAGTTACATGCTCAAAGGAACTACTTTGAAGTGTTAGGGTAGGTAATATTTTTGGTATAAAAAGATCCTTGGGGTAGAACCATGTATATACTTGTAGTAGCAGAAGTACCTATCTACAATAAGTAAGAGGTCAAAACCTGGACCAAAGTGTAGTCCTGAAAAGTAGATTCATTTTTTTTTCATACTAAGGTAAAGCAAAAGAAACCAAGAAAAAGTATAACTAAGAAATTTCTATTTTACAATTTTCTTGCCCATTGAAATTATTATTGTTATTAATCTTTTCTGAAATTGAAGCTCATATTTTGTTTATCTTGGTAGCCTAAAAGAAAAATAAAATAGATAACATTTGATTTTTTTTTAATCATTTCACTCCAAGCAAGGCAATAAAACTACTAAGACACAAAGGATTACTGAGAGTAAAAGAAACTGAGAAAGCATTACTCAGGAGAAATGACAATAAAAAGAACAGGATTCATAGAGGCAGAAAATGACAATTGACATTGCATTTAAATCTTTGTACATTATAGTTAACAGGAAAGCAAGAAACTGGAAAAAAAGAGTTCCACAGTGTGAAACTATTAGAACAGAACTTATAGGTACATTTAGTAATTTCAACATGTTTCAAATAAAGAAAAGTGAGAAATATATTTAGGAGTGAAAAAAAAAAAATTGTTCATGAAATTTCTTTTTCAAAGCACAGAAATATTTTCATCAGATTCTTTGAGCTAAGGAATTATCATCTGTCTATATTTCTGAAATGAGGTATTGTAACTCTTTATAATATTTGGACTGTTGTCCTCATCTTTATTATTATATTAATGATGTTTTGGCTGTTGCATGCCTTTTTCAGGTGATATACATTGGAATTTTTGAACTAAACCCTTTATTTAGTCAATGGAGGGTAGAGTGTTCTAGTTCCACATGCCATTTTCTGGATATCTCAGTTTCAGTTAATTCTCTTTAGTAACTCAACTATCCAAGTTTTTTGTTCACCTCTGCTGTGGCCAGGTATTGAACTCAACTCTTTGGGTTAAGTCACTTTTGTATTACTTCAACCAATGCTTTTATCCATTGGGCCATAAAGAAGAAGGCTGGAGTGCACAACAGCTGAAACGGCATTGATATGACAATAAAGATGAGGACAACGGTCCAAACAATGTAAACAGAGGAATTGTCATTATTATATACTTTGTTATTCAGACAAACATGCTCTTCTTAGCTCACAACATTTCAACCATTGTACCTACCAGCCTTCATCAGATATGTCATAATACTTGGCAACCTTGTAATTCCAAATCAAACCCTGTATTCAACTGATCGCATTCCACTTTCCATGCTTAGGAGATATTTCATATTAGTTAATACTCACCAATCTTATTCATCTTTGCATTGCTTATATGTTCTTTCTTCTGAAGAATGTGGTTTTTAAGCACTACCAAACCCAGGAATTGAACTCACAACTGCCAAGTAACCAGATATGTTTTAAGCAAGATGAGCATGCTAGTCCAAATAGCGAAGTGTTTAACAATAACTATTTCTATTGGCCAAACATTAATAATAATAATAGAGAAATTATAGTCTTACTCTGAATGGTTGAAAACAGTAATTGTTACTGTGAAAGTTAAATCTATATAACAAAAAATGAGATATCTTTTTTAAAACTAAAAAGAACAAAACTTTTTTTTACATTAAAACCTACTCCTGATTCTAATAAATATGCATATCAAATTTGAGGGTTCTACATGGAAGGATTTGGCCATGTATAGAAAACAGAAAAAACTCTTCACAATTATAGTATGAGTGAAAGGTTACCTTTTCTGCAAAGGTGAAAATTTTTCTTTGATCAACACCACCAAATTGTGCATCTACCTTCAAGTATTCTTCATCCAAAGCCTGAAATAAAAAAATACTTTCTGCACTAAAGCAACATTTAATTACTGTTCTGTTCACAAAATAATAAACATGGTGCTTGAAACAATGAACAACAGGAAATAAAAATTTGTAATCATTTTTCTGCTCAAACCACAAATTTCAGTACAGCCAGTCCAACAAAGATTTCATATACATAATTTTTTTTATTTACTATTAAGCTGCTAAAAAATATCCAGCACCATCTTTTGCACAATATTAGAGAAATCATTGAAGTATCTTTGAAATTTCCCAATGTCTGTACTGCTTTTACTATCAACTGTAGTATGTCCTTTACAAGCAGTAGGAAAATTTCTGAAGTGAGGAAAAATGGTTCCATATGATATTATGAAAATGAACATTGGTTAATATTTAAAGGATTGTTTTTCTCTTTGTTGTGGACTAAATAGTACACACCCAGTGACTATATGAACTAGTCCATTACTATAAAGAGCTCTGGGTCAGAGGTAGAAGAAGAAGCCATTTGGAGTTAGTCTTCAGACTAACTAATACAGGCATCTTAGCAAGTAGCCAAAGCATTATGTATAGAGAATCCATATATGAAGTACATTATAGAAGTAAGAGTGTGTTATAACAACAGCCACAGAATAATGAGGATGAGGGATTCAAAACTCAGGATTTATAACCACTGTGTCAAGGATTCAGAACTCTTATGGCCTGTTATATTGTAATAAGGATTTTGGAAAGTCATATGTGTTATAACTGGAGTTACAAGAATTTAAACCAGGGTGGTATAAAAAAAAAGGAAACAATCTTGTGAATATGGAGAAAATTTTTACTTAAATAGTTGAAATTCAACAACAGCAGCAGCACTAGAAACAGCAAAATCAACAGTTGCTAGAACTACAAAAACAGCAACAAGAGTTGTTGAATATAATTCTGAAGAAAACAAATTCTTCCACGTCTCTTATGCTAGACGCTGTCCAAAACACCATATCAGAATTTATATACAATCCTGATGAGGGAACAACTTTTTCTGTGTATATGTATAGATATGAAAAAATATTCAGTCAGGAATGTAACGATTTGGAAGATGAAGCAAAAACAAAATTGTTGTTGAGGAAAATAGCTCTGATAGAGTATGAAAAATATGGCAACTACATTTTACTGAGTAAACAAGGTGAAATCAGGTTTGAAAACATAGTACACATTCTGACAAAAATCTTTAGTGACAAGAGCTCTCTGTTTAATTCTTGTTGGTGGTGCATGAATCTAACCAAAAAAGAGGATGAAGATTTTGTCATGTATGCTGGTATCACCAACAAAGAATGTGAAAAGTTTAGAATAAAGGAAATGACTCCAGATATGTTCAAAGGATTAATTTTCATAAAAAATTTAACAGCTAAAAAAGATGCTGAAATATGAGCAAAAATTTTAACAAAAATCGAACAAAACAGTAACATTACACTGCAAGAAATAATGGATGATTGTCAGACAATGCTAAATCTGAAAGATGATGCTGAAGAAATTTAGAAAAATGAATGTCCATTGATACAAACAAAGGACTAATTTGCAAAAAGGAGAATAATTCTTGTTTCAGATGTAGTAAATTACATTTTGGAAAAGACTGTTCATTTAAATTGCAGAATGTTACAAGTGTGATAAAAGAGGACATATAAAGTCATATTGCAAAACCAAACCAAGAAAAAATTCTCACAGAAAGAAATTAGTACATAGCATTGTGACAGATAAAATAGTCACAAAAAACAAAAGAAAATTTGTAAATGTGAAAATGCTTTATTAAAAAGGACTTTCAAAGTTGCAATTTCATTTTCTGGTTGGAATTTTTTTTTTTTTTTGAGAAATAATTTATAATGTTTCATTCCATAATACGCATGTAAAAACCAAAGTTTATGTATTAAAAAAAGGCTACAAATTTATTCAGAACAGATTGGATGGAACCATTTGAACTTTGGAATTTGCTAATAAATAATATTGTAAAAACATAAGTGGACAAGTGACCAATTTAAAAAGTCAGAGCAAAAATCTTAAGGAAGAATTAAAAACATGTTTTCCAGGCATTCTATCAAACAAAATGGGGTTGATGTTTAAAATTCAAGGTGGATTTTCAAGTAAAAAAAAAGAAAAGAAAAAAAACTTCAACATCAGTATTTAAACCAAAATGGAGTATACCATTTGCAGCATTAGAACAAGTTAATGAAGAGTTGGACAGACTTGAAAGAATTGGTGTAATAGAGAAAATTAACCAATCGAAATGCACTGCACCTGTGATATATGTAAAGAAAAGAAATAATAAAATTTGTTTACACAGATTTCTTGACTGCATTAAACAGTTATTTAGAAACACATAACTACTCATTACCAAGTCCAGAAGAAATTTTTTCAAATTTGAACAGTGGAAGAATATTTTCAAAGCTGGATCTCTCTGAAGTATATTTACAAATTCAGATTGAAAATCAATGTTCTGAATTAATGACCATCAATACACACAGAGGATATATAAGTTTAACTAACTTCCTTTTGTTATAAATGTGGTGTCATCTTTTTTTCAACAAGACATGGGTACCATGCTTGCAGATTGTGACTTTGCAGTGGCGTATCTGCATGACATTTTGATCAAAAGTGTATTGAAAGAAAAAATGTGGGGCATGGCAAAACTAAAAGAATATGGATTCAAGCTTATATATGAACTAGCCGATTACTATAAAGAGCTCCAGGTCAGAGGTAAGACTGGTAGCTGTTTGGAGTGAGTCTTCAGACTAACTAATACAGGTGTCATGGTAAGTAGTTGAAGCATTATATATAGAGAATCCTTATATGAAGTACATTATATCAGTAAGAGTGTATTATAACAATAGCCATAGAATAGTGGTGTTATAATACTCTTCTTGCTTGATGTAAAAAGATTACTTTTAGATAAGAATGCCACTGGTAATGAAAAAATGGATTTAGATTTGAGAATCCAAAATGAAGAAAATTGAGATTAGATCCCAGACAGCTCTTAACTTCACATACGCGGAAGATGGGGACATTTCTATGATTCGTGAGATTTAAATAGAATTGTTTTAAGAACTAGCATAATCTGAAAAAGATGTTACAAAATGAAGGACTTGTCTAAATGACAAATTTGAACAGAAAATATCTTTTTCTAGGCAAGGAAGGGGAAGATATGATTTTGCCATGTGTCAACACCAGTTTTTATTTTGCAAATAATTCTGGAGCTGCTTACAGGAAGTTTTTTTGGTATGCAACTGTCAGCTTTCAGACTTGTTTGTTTTCATGCAACATTACTTAGTTGATCAGAAACTCCCACAAGTTCATTATTTCAAACAATGAATCAAAATTGGAATCACTCTTTTAATACATGTTGGCATAATGTCTTGGAAAACCAGACTAAATACTTTAATGACTGAATAATAATGATATAAATATGAATGAAAAAATTTTGTCAAAAAAATAAAAAAAAAGTAATATAATGCTGAAAACTTTTGCTTCAACCATGAACATAACATAATGAAATGAATCAGTGAAGATTTTAAAAGCAGAAAAAAAGAACTTGGTTTGCAATGGCATTATTGATTGAACTGTGGTAAAACAAAATTGTTAGGGGCTAAATACTGGTTACTACAGGCATATTTCAACCCTGTTGAATATTCAGCTCTGAACTTTATGCCAATTAATAATATAAAGTATGTTTTTCCTTGTGAAAAGTATCATTTATTGTTGCATAGGTAGAAAGGTAACTTACAACAGGAGAGATGTTCATTTTGTACAAATACAGGATTTCTTACACGGTGTGAGAAAAAGCATTTAATAAAAAGATTTTGTATATTTGGTCAGTCTTACCTGAAGCCCAGGGTAGAGCAAACCACTTAATAATGGATGTTCCACCTGTTTGACCACTTCAGCACCAGCCTTGCGAGCATCATGGTCAGTGACCATGGATGACATTTTATAAACATCTAATGTATATTCCCTGAATAGAGAGAAAAAAATAATATATTGATCATTACATAATAACAATCATACATTTCTACAAAGAGATCTGTGCCTCTTACTCTGTAAGCTTTTATCATGTGAGGCTCCTGGACCTTGTACATCGTTAAACAACCCCACCCCACCAAAAAAATCCCAAAAAATATTTTTTTACACTTGCCTGCTAAGTTGGTAATCTGTTCCTTTTACAAATTTGAGCTTCTCCAGAGGAACACTTAAGGATTTAAGCATTGCCTTTATTACATGTTCATAATATTTTACACGTTGCTTCAAGAGGTCCCAAGGCGCCTTCATGTTGTCCAGATAGGCATGAAGGTCGGCAAAGAGAATGGTCACCTTAGTAAAAAGACAAGACAGTAACATAGTAAGTGGGAAAAATAGAATTGTAAATGAGCATCAAAAAGTTCATAGCCTAAGGATGAGAAAAATACTTATTCTACACAGCAAATACTTTACATAATCTCCTTTTTGCCAAAGCATTTCACTTAAGATGTGATTAGTAATCACAGAGATCAATACATCATACAGATCAAAACTTGGCTAATAATTATGTGTCAAGCTACAGACTTACTGATCAGCCTAGTACAATTTAGAGATGACTAGATAAAGTAATTTGGGAACAGATAAAATAAAGATACTGCAACCCGACATTAAACACAAATATTATATATATATATATATATGGAAGGATATCATATTTCTATATCAAAATATTGTTAGGCAATTGAATGACTGTGGAAAAATTCTGTGTAACATGTTTCATCCTCTAGAAGGACTTCATCAGACTAATTTTTTTATTGATGGAATTATACCGTATATATGAGCATATAGTACAAGATTTTATGATCAGGTGTTATGAAAAAATAGAGTGTTCGCACTGTACACATAATTTTTTTGAAGAGGTTAAAAATGCATTTTCAGTGACCAGTTGCACTATACACAAGTAAATTTTTTCTAGAGAGATTAAAATTCATGCGAAAATATTCAAGGGTTGCACTATACATGAAGTGGACTTAAACACAAGTATATACAGTGTGTGTATATATATATATATATATATATATATATATATATATATACACACATAGAAATAAAGTGTTTCTGCTGACACTTGACTTTGAATATACATTGCCAATGAGCAAACACAGGCGATCACATTATTGAATTATGTAGATCAGAGTACCATAGAAGAAACACGTAAGTGGAAAGTAACATGACGTCTAATTGATCGCTATTTCTAGTCTATCCTCTATTACTATTCAGATCACTATTTCTACTCTATCCTTTATTACTTTATGGTGTGCTATCCACTATACTATTCTCTATTCGGATCACTATTTGAGTGAGTATTATCGAGCAAGTACTATTAGTACGAGTGTTATTTGAAGGTGTCTGACACCTGTATTGGTAGAGTTGTTTTTCTGTTTTTAGTATTTTAATATAGCGTAGATTACTATTGGAATTCCAATTCACAGTTGTAACAACTGTTTCAAAGTGAAATTGCTCTATGGATCACTAAAATATTACTGTTGACCCCAGTTGAGAACAACTGTTCTGGAGGATTCAACACATGACACAGGATTTTTCTAAAATGAAAGTTGTTTCACTGTGTCATGTCAGACAATATTTCTTGACAGAATCCATTTTGCACATTTTGGCTGCTTTAACTGGTCTGGTGCTCCTGCTATATATCCTGATATTCTTGACAAGTTGGTAATGTTATCTGTTATGACCAGGTATCTCGTCTTCAGTCACTTTCCCATCACTATAATGAAAGCAATTGTTCTAATGAGCTTTCCATCTTGGTGCCTTGACTGCATGAATTTAAGTGTGCTACTAGATTGGCAATTAGGTCTCATCATTTTAATGTTGAAATAGATGTAACTCTAAGTTCTATTTTAATAGTTTCTTTGCCTGCACTTCTCACCTGTGAAGCTATTCCAGTTTCTTGCTTCTCCGTCATCTACAATCTTCAAAAATTTAAATGAAGTTACATTAATTTTATCTTTGTAATTCATCCCCTGTGGATGATCTTGGAGGACAATGAAAGTATTTGGGTAGGAAAAAACTATGGCACCTTCCTTGATGAATTTCATCTTAACATCAAGAAACTGATTAGAAAACTGGAAAGGATCATTATAAAAATAAATAGACATAATATATCTAAATTATTCCATGAAACAGGTTTGAATGAAGATATGCTGCCTATACATGTAAAAACTGGTTGGACATTGTCAAACAATGAACAGGTATGACTATACCAGAATTGCTGATGACTGCCGTTGATAGACTGTTGTGGAGGAGATTCAGTGTGGCTTCTGCATTCAGATCCCCCCTACAATTACAAAAGTCAAGGGGATGATGATTATATATATATATATATATATATATATATATATAGTTTATTATGAGTAGTCTTAAGATTGTGATTTTGTTTGTATTGTCAACCTTGACAGGATTCAACTGACTATGATTCATAAATGGACTTACTTCACAACCAGCTCTGAGGAAGTCTGCTATTTTTGTCATGGGTACAAAGTAAGCCACATGTGGCTTGCCTGTTGTGGCTGTTCCCCAGTAGATTTTCACATCACGTTCTTTCAAAATTGTCTTCAGTTTTTGTTCTCCAAGAACTTCCTAAAATAAAAATGAAAACCAATATATTAAAGCACAAGTCTGTCAGTTAAGTGCCATACATGATACATGTTTAGTCAATTGTGTCTCTTTTGATTCATAACTGACTAAGCAATAGGTTGCTGTTTCTTTCTGCTGTAGACTGGTTGCCAACTAAGGCTATAGGACCAAGTCTGTCATGTTATTCAACTCATAACTGAGAGAGAAGAGATGGATACATACCTTTCCAAAGGGTATCTGCATGTAAGTAAATGTAACAAACTAGACCAGAATTCAAACATGGATCTCTGATTTCTCACTCCAAGCTGCATGTTACACCATAAGTACAAAACTGAATTTCCAGCACTTGCGAATTTGATCCACAAGTGCTGGAAATTGTGGATTTGACTTGAGTTTGTTGATCAAGCAAATGCTTGATCAACAAAGTCATTTCAATTTTAATTCAATAATAAAGTTTTGATCTGCCATTCAGTCATCACTTGATTAATTTCAGTTTTTCTGATGCTCATTTACTTTTTTGTTTAACTGTAAACACAGAATTTCAGTATTATACATCGATGTACTTTGTATTATACACTGATATACTTATTCAAATTATACTTCTCATCTTGAATATTATATATATTATTATAGACATTATGTTTCAGCCAAGTACACTCTGGCCATCATCAGGTGTCCAATATTTAGTCTGATATGGGATATCTTATATGTATTGGTTATTACGTTATTTTGTTTCTGTAATGTCATTTCTTGTTCATTCCTGTTGAACCAGAGTATACTATTTTATTGTCTGAACCAGGCATTGAACTCACAACAACTAGGTTAACCAATGCCTGTATCCACTATGGCACCATCCCAAAGAACAACAGCATTGATTAGTATTTTGTATTTGTCAGCTGCATCAGGAACAACAAAATATCAAATAACTCACCTGGAGATTTCTTGTGATGAGATGGTACTTTTCATCAGCACTAAGTCCATTTTGAATTTCCATCTCTGAAATTTCATCTATAAAAGAGAGAAAAATTGATATTAAGGAGTCTGGGGTTGCATATGACAAAGACAAAAAAAATGATCAATTATCATGAGTTGGTATTGAAAAGTTCTCATCCTAACTAAGATGGGATTTCAAATTCTGATATTTGAGCATGTGATCAGATTTTGGCAAGTGGGTTGGCCCAAGAAATTTACAGAAGCCTTTTGTACTGTTTTTTTTTCAATTCATAAAGAGATGAATAAAGTAAACAAATGCAAACCCATTTAGGGGTTTTCTGTTAGGCTAAATGTTGCTTCATATTATGTAAGTGCATAATAATTCTGGTTTGTTTATGTGGGATTCAGATGATAATGTATATTTATAAGTATGAATCCCACATAGAAAAACCAGAATAGCAAGTAGACATTTTTAAAGGGAGGGAGTTGCTAGCCTCACACCCAAACAATTTTGAATCCAGAGTTGTGCTTCTTCTAGATAGGTTGTCAACCAAAGCTAGAGCTCAGTGTATTCCATTATTTAACATATAACTAGGGAGAAGAGAAGAGATGAATTCATACCTTTTCAATGAGGATTTGTGCAAAAGTGAGCACAATGAACTTGGGACACCAACTCCACTTTCTGTGTCAATAACCACTATGCTATGTGCACATCAAATATATATATATATATATATATAAGCACCAATTAAACAATTCTTGTATGTGAATTCATTTAGTCTTCAGATTAACATTTTCTTTAAAAATAATGAAAACAAACATTTATTGAAATCACATAAAATCAGTAAGAGAACAGATTTGGAAAATGCAGCCAGCTTGCTTTCATTTGATCATATGAGAGACCTCTTTCTATCTCCCATCAGTATGGCTGATGCTAACCTCCAAGAGAGGGACTTGTTACACCTTTTCAGGCTAACATTCTTGGTTGGCCTCAAGTGGAAAGACTATATTGAATCAATTGCTAGGTCAGCTGCTAAGAAAGTTAGTTCACTGTGTTGTACTAGACATTTTTTCTCTCCAGAATTTATCTTATATATCTATAAGTTGACCATTTGTCCATGCTTAGAATATTGCTGTCACATATGGCTCAATGCTCCTGCTATATATTTAGAGATTTTTGATAAAATCCAAAGAAGAATCAGCAATATTATTGGTCCTGATCTGGAGTCTCATCTTCAGTCACTTTCTCACCACCATAAGGTTGCTTCTCTGTACCTTTTCTATAAATACTTTCATGGTAATTGTTTAGATGAGCTTTTCGCTATGATACCTAGGCTATGAATTTAAGTGCAGTACTAGATTTGTAACTAAGTCTCATCAATTTATAGTTGATTTGGCTAGATGTAACTGTAAATTCTATGCTAAGTTTCTTTTCTTACTTGTGAAACATGATACTGGCTTCATACTTTCCAGTTAACTTTGATCTTCAATCATTATCTATTGTCTTCCTGATTACTCTTATATTGTTCTCAGTCCTCAGTAATGTTTCTGTTTTCTAATTCTTCCACACCCAGTAATCCTTTGTGTTTTAGTGGCTTTAATGCCTTGCTGGGGATAAATTTGATTTTAACAAAAAAAGAGAGAATTGTTTGTATTGGATCAAGAAACATTAATAGAATAGAGTGCAGGGAAATCTTAAAATAATTAGATTAGTAAAATCCTGTTCTAAATGTAATGTCTCTTCAGGATGGTTCTTTACAGATTGTTTCTTTATTATTTGTGAATTGCCATGTCATCTTGAGTGGTTTAGTGATTTCTTGTTGCTGTCTCCATAAATTTTAATTCAAAGTAGATCTTCTCTAGAGGGTTTTTTGTAATGCTCTGCTTAGGATGTAAGCAGCCATGGCTCTCCACAGTTTCTATTTCTTTATTATCTGTGAATTGCCATGTCATCTTGAATGGTTTCTTGTTGCTGTCTCCATAAATTTTAATTCAAAGTAGATCTTCTCTAGAGGGTTTTTTGTAATGCTCTGTTAGGATGTAAGCAGCCATGGCTCTCCACAGTTTCTATTTCTTTATTATTTGTGAATTGCCATGTCATCTTGAGTGGTTTAGTGATTTCTTGTTGCTGTCTCCATAAATTATAATTCAAAGTAGATCTTATCTAGAGGGTTTTTTGTAATGCTCTGCTTAGGATGTAAGCCAGCTCTCCACAGTTTCTATTTCTATCACTTTATTATCTGTGAATTGCCATTCAGGATCTTGAATGGTTTTCCACAGTGCTGTCTCCATAAATTTTAATTCAAAGTAGATCTTCTCTAGGGGTTTTTTTCTTAATGCTCTGCTTAGATTCAGGACTACTTGGTCATCATGGCTCTCCACAGTTTCTATTTCTTTTTTTCTGTGAATTGCCATATCATCTTGAATGGTTTATTCTGTCAATAAATTTTAATAAAGTTCTTCTTCTCTTTTTTTGTAATGCTCTGTTCAGGATGGGGTCGATCATGGCTCTCCACAGTTTCTATTTCTTTTTTATCTGTCAATTGCCATGTCATCTTGAATGGTTTCTTGTTGCTGTCTCCATAAATTTTAATTCAAAGTAGATCTTCTTCTCTGAGCCATTTTTCAATGACCTTGGTCGATTCAGGACTACTTGGTTATTATCATGGCTCTCCACAGTTTTCTGTCAATCTCCTTTATTTCTGTGAATTGCTTAGGATCATGTCATTCTTGAATTTGTCATTTGCTTCTGTTCTTTGCTCATAAATTTTAATTCAAACTAGATCTTCTCTAGAGGGTTTTTCCTTTTTTGCTTTGTTTAGGATAAGCAGCCATTATTCTGTCCACAAATTTCTATTTTCTTTTCTTCTTCTCTGAGCCATGGCCATTGTCATCTTGGTCGTTTGGCTCTCCACAGTTTCCTCTCCTTTTTTTGCTTGTGCTATCATCTTATAATTCTGTCAATAAATTACCATAAATTCTTCTTCTTCTTCTCTGAGCCATGGCCATTCAGGACTGCTTGGTCGATCATGGCTCTCCACAGTTTCCTCTCCTTTTTTTTCTCATTTGCCATGTCATCTTGAATATTTATTCTGTCAATAAATTTTAATAAAGTTCTTCTTCTTCTTTTTGTAATGGCCATTCAGGACTACTTGGTCGATCATGGCTCTCCACAGTTTCCTTTCCTTTTTTTTGTCATTTGCCTATCATCTTAATAATTATTTCTTGTCAATAAATTACCATAAACTTCTTCTTCTTCTTCTCTGAGCCATGGCCATTCAGGATTACTTGGTCGATCCATGGCTCTCCACAGTTTCTTTCTCCTTTTTTGTCATTTGGCTATCCTCTTAATATTTTTTCTGTCAATGTCTCCATTAAATTCCAAACTTCTTCTTCTTCTTCTCTGAGCCATGGCCATTCAGGACTACTTGGTCGATCATGGCTCTCCACAGTTTCCTCTCCTTTTTTTTTTGTCATTTGGCTATCACTCTTAATACTTATTCTGTCAATAAATTACCATAAACTTCTTCTTCTTTTTTTCTCTGAGCCATTCAGGACTACTTGGTCGATCATGGCTCTCCACAGAGGGTCCTTTTTTTTTGTCATTTGGCTATCACTCTTTATTTATTCTGTCAATAAATTACCATAAACTTTCTTCTTCTTCTTCTCTGAGCCATGGCCATTCAGGACTACTTGGTTTCGATCATGGCTCTCCACATTTCTCTCCTTTTTTTTCATTTGTGCTATCACTCTAGAGGGTATTCTGTCAATAAATTTACCATAAACTTCTTCTTCTTCTTCTTCTATTTCATGGCCATTCAGGACTACTTGGTCGATCATGTCATCTCCACAGTTTCCTCTCCTTTTTTTTGCTTGTCTCCATCTTAATACTTATTCTGTCAATAAATTTCCATAAACTTCTTTTCTTCTTCTCTGAATGGCCATTCAGGACTACTTGGTCGATCATGGCTCTCCACAGTTTCCTCTCCTTTTTTTGTCATTTGAATTCCATGTCATCTTAATACTTTATTCTGTCAATAAATTTTAATTCCATAAAGATCTTCTTCTAGAGGGTTTTCTCTGAATGGCCTGTTTAGGACTACTTGGTCGATCATGGCTCTCCACAGTTTCCTTTCCTTTTTTTGTCATTTGGCTATCACTCTTGAATATTTATTCTGTCAATAAATTTTAATAAAAGTCTTCTTCTTCTTCTCTGAGAGTTTTTTGCCATTCAGGACTACTTGGTCGATCATGGCTCTCCAGTTTCCTCTTCTTTTTTTGTCATTGCCATGTCATCTTCTTATGGCTCTCCCAGTTTCTTATTCTGTCAATAAATTTTAATTCAAACTTCTTCTTCTTCTTCTTTTTTGTATTTTCGGGATGTAAGGTCGATCATGGCTCTCCACAGTTTCCTCTCCTTTTTTTTGTCAATTGCTATCATCTTGAATAATACTTATTCTGTCAATAAATTTTAATTCAAACTTCTTCTTCTTCTTCTCTGGCCATTTTTGTTCAATGCTCTGCTTGGATCGATCATGGCTCTCCACAGTTTCCTTCTTTTTTTTTGTCATTTGGCTATCACTCTTAATATTTATTCTGTCAATAAATTCCATAAACTTCTTCTTCTTCTTCTTCTCTATGGCCATTTTTTGACTACTCTGGTTAGATTGGCTCTCCACAGTTTCCTCTCCTTTTTTTTCATTGGCTATCTGTCCTAATACCATTCTGTCAATAAATTACCATAAACTTTTCTTCTTCTTCTCTCCCATGGCCATTCAATGGACTATAAAGGTCGATCATGGCTCTCCACAGTTTCCTCTCCTTTTTTTTATCTGTGAATTGCCATCATCTTGGTTTTTATTCTGTCAATAAAATTTTAATAAAAGTCTTCTTCTTCTTCTCTTTTGCCATGGCCATTCAGGACTACTTGGTCGATCATGGCTCTCCACAGTTTCTCTCCTTTTTTTTGTCATTTGGCTATCCTCTTAATCTTTATTCTGTCAATAAATTACCATAAACTTTTCTTCTTCTTCTTCTCTGAGCCATGGCCATTCAGGACTTGTTTGGTCGATCAT